AAGACCGTTGGATCCTCGCGCCGTCATTTTGCTCTGAAGAGGGGTGACGTCGTCCAATAGTCGCTATTACATCTCCATTGTCTCTCGCTCCTTTTGCGCGATAGCCACCGTTGGATTGGCGGCTAACTTTCGTGTGCTGATGGCTGCGACGTGGTGTCTCTTGGATCGTCGGATCTACTAGCAATCGCTGTTGGATCTTGGAGCTACTTTTTCATATGATGGCGGAAGTGACGTGGCTTCATACGGTGCGTCAGATCTGACCACTACTATCGCGCTACCGTTAGATTTGAAAAGAATAACTAGATAAAGTAAATCCCAGATAAAGTAAATCTCATGTCGAAAATATTATGCGAGTGTTATCATACATAATAATGACGTCATCTCATTATATTTATTTTAATGCCTAAAATTTTCAGTAAAATTGCATAAAATATATTTCAATCAATCATAAAAATTTAGCTCAATAATAATTTTATTTAAAAATAAATTAAATGAGAATTAAGCCTCAATATATGAAATAAATTTTCATCCATTTTTATTTTATTTATAAAATATTAATTTAAATTAAGATTTAGAGTGTTTCATTTAAATAGAAAATAAAAGAATTAACATGGTAACTTGTGAAATATTTCTCAAATATGCATTATTCTCCTTGATTTGATAATAGCTTAGCATAGAGTTTTCACAAGTTATCAGTCACATACATATTTTTCTTGTGAAATAAATATACCATGATCCTTTTGAATGATTTAAATCTTAAGAAAATAATGAAGCAATCTCAAATCTGTCATATTAAATTCAGCCATCATACAATTCTTGAAATTTGAAATTAGTGACAAAGATAATCTAGTATAGAATATCATCAATGTAAACACATATAATCAAAGTATCTTTATCTTGAATCTTGATATAAAGTGTTATCTCATTATCACTTTTATGAAAATAATGATTATGAAATTATGAATCAAGTCTACTATATTATGCTCTAGTCACTTGTTTAGGGACATGAAGTGACTTCTTCAATTTATAAACTTTGTTTTCTCTCCCTTCAATGATTAAATCTTGTGGCTGCTCAACATATATATCTTCATTCAAACAATCATTCAAAAATACTTATTTAACATTAAATTGAAATACCTTCTATTTCATTTGTGATGCCAAAGTCAAAGACTTGTCACTAGAAGAAAAGTTTCAAAATAATAAATACCTTGTTATTGTGCATATCCCTTCATTACTAATCTTGTCTTGAATTTTTGAACTTCAAGATCAAATTTATACTTTGCCTTATAAGCCCACTTGACTCCAATTGCTTTAGTCTTTGATGATAAATTCATCAACTCCCATGTGTCATTCTTCTCAATTATTATAATTTTTTCTTACATTGCTTTCTCCTATTCATTTTTGCTTTGTGCTTTCTCATAGTTTGTCGGATCAATGTAGCCATTAAAATCATTTGAATCACTTGGAGAAAGTCTCCAAGGTGAGATAAATGATATAGACATTTCACCCATTAAATTCTAACTAGTTTGCATATTTGCAAACTAGTCAGAATTCCACCAAGTATATTAATCAAATATAACATCAAGACGAATCACAAAAAAAATTGTTTCAAGATTATTATCAATGATAACCCACACTTTCATCACTATAATTAAGAAAATATATTTATTAATCTTTTTGTCCATCTTATTACAATCATCAACATCAATTAAAATATAAAATTACAACCAAAAACTTTCAAATGACTAATATTAGGTTTTTGATGATACCAAGCTTCATAAGGAGTCATATTCATCACTGCCATTGTAGGAGAAATATTCAAAATAAAAATAGATGTTACAACAACTTAAGCCCAAAAATCATTAAGAAGATTCTTCTATTCATTTCCATAATTATTCTATTCATTTCCACAAAAATCATTTTGTTCTACAGTTTTTATAATAGTGAGTTGTCTTTTAATTCCATGCTTCTTGTAAAATGATTCAAACTCGTGAGAAATAAATTATCCCCCTTTATCTATTCGAGAGTTTAATAAAATGTCCACTTGATTTTTCAAAAAAAATGAAATAAATAAGTTTATCAAATGCTTCAGATTTATGAGGAATAAAATACACCTAATTCATTCTTATAAAGTCGTTAATAATCATTATGAAATATCAAGTAATATTCAAAGATATTTTCCTCATTGGACCACATAAATCTGCATTTAATAACTCAAGAAAAAATCTTACTCTTCAAAATTTTCCTATTGAAAAAATTAGTCTATATTACTTGTTATAAGCACATTCTTCACATATTTTGTTATTTATTGAAATATAGAGTATACTAGAAACTATATACTTGTGTTGTAATAATGTTAATGTATTAAAATATAAATGTACACAACTCAAATGTCAAAGTGGAGAGGAATCTTTCTCTTTCATAATCATGCCAAAATCAGTGAATCTGAAAATATCAAGAGAGAACATTATTTTTCCAACCTTAAGAATCATCATAGGAGATATGTCACTTTTCTCATGCTTGATAACACATGTATCATCTTCAAAATTAGTAATAAAATCAAATTCTAATAATTGGCCCACACTAAACAAGTAATGTGTCGAGTCTACAACAAAATAAACATCAGGAATTAATATATCTACACTTGATCTTGTATGAACAATAATAATATCAATGTTTTTAATTCTCACACTATTTTTATCATCAATAGTAACATCACAAGTCATAGAAGTAGCAATATTTTGAAATAAATTTCTTTTACCTATCATAGGATTATTGTAACCACTGTCAATAAATTATATATTTGATTTACTTGAGTTTGAAGATGTATAAATTATAAATAATTTATTTTGATCAATTTCTTCAATAATATTAGTTTTTTCTCTTTTGTTGTCCTAACAATTTGCTTCAATATGACCATAATTTTTACAAGAACTAAAAATTAGTTTAGAACTTCCTTCTTTTATATTTTTTTGTTATTTTACTTTGTCCCAATAATAAGCTTCAATATGACCATATTTCCTACAAAAATAACATTGTATAACTTTATAATTTGATTTCTAATGTTGTTGATTTCCTCCATCATTTTTTTACTACCCATAATGTGTTCTAACATGTCCTCTTCTTCGACCTCTAATTTGATAGTGTCATATGTCATAACCTCATTGATGGCACCTCACTATTTTTTCTTTTTTTTTGAAATTTCTGTAATAACTTGAAACATTTGTTCAAGTGATTTTTTGTTGGTCTATTCACTCATTCTTCATGTGCTAATAGTACTCCAATTAATTTATTTTACATATAAATAGATAAATCATTAAATTTTTTAATGATAGCAACAATATGATCAAATTTAGAAGTCAAATTTCTTTAAAAAATTATGTAATTCTCGTTTTTCAAATATCTTCTCTAAATATTCTCATTTGATTTATAATAATAGATATTCTAGAAAAAAATCATATAAGGATCCATCAAATTTCATGAAAATAGTTTTAAACTCTCTACGAAGGGTTTGAAATTTCACATTCGTAACTTTGTTGTCTCCATTGAATTCATCTTTAAAGATTTTTCATATTTCAAAAGAACTCATGGCATCTTTTAAAAATACATGAAAATATTATTTTTGAAACAAATTATTGTAAAACTAATAACATCCTTTTTTTGAAAATATTTATTTTTCTATTTAGAAATTTCTAATTTATTATTATCATTCTCAACCAACTCTTATAAATCTTGTGAAATAAAAATATCTTCATTTTAATACTTTAAAACTCATAATTATCTTTATTGAAAAATAAAACAAGAGGTTGTGAGAGGTTGAAGGGGTTACCATTTGTCATTCTCAACGTCAATAGTAATATACCTCTTCATATAAACTTTGACTTGAAACTTGAGACTCTTTGGTATGACAAGAAATCTTTAAAAATTCTAAAATACTTTACTAATCTTGATTTAATTATCTCCTTGAATGAGGCTGCGTTCTCTAGGAAAGGCCAACACTCAATCTACAAACTTGGCTCTAACACCATTTGAAGAAAAAATAATTGAACAAAAACTTATAGATAATACATTGATTTTGTGGAAAGAATAGTAGGAGAAAGAAGGAAATGAATTTCACATACACCGAAACCCTGGAAAATACAAAACGTCTTAAGTAATATTTAGTGAGAGATAAAAAGAGTTTTTATAACACTTAACTACCTCATGTGAGCCAGCTACCTTTTGGCCCACTAAAGACTAAGAAGGGTAGATGGGCGGCACTTGTCATGTCGTAGGCTAACCATGGATCCTTGGCGTGAGGCGAGGCCGGGGGATCCATTGTGGCGGAGAAGGATGCCCATCTGAAGGTCGTTCCGTGAGACCGCCACAGCCTCGATTTCCGAGCGCGAAGGGTAGTAGGGAGCAGGTAACGGCGTCAGGAGGAATTCTCTTCGGTCGACGGGGGAGGAGGGGAGTCGTACCTACGTAAAAAACCATCTAAAAAAAGAGAAGACAAAATCAGACAGGCTGAATCGATGTCGTGTCCAAGCCGATTCTGAGGATCTCGTCCGCGTCCGAGTGAAAGGTGGGGGAACAAGTAAAGAAGTCACCCATGACACATAAAACAGAGCAGGCAAAAAATGTGAACAGACGCCTGACCTTCGGCGTTGCGTGGGTGCGCCGTTCTCGCGAATGGTCGTCATGGTGGGGTAGGTGACGTGCCGCCCCGATAGAAAGACGTCAGCAGCCGAACCTGCCCTTTCCTTCCCATCTGATCCATTACAGTATGCTCAAGGAAATGCCGGAATGCATCATGGTCATGGGTCAAGTGAGAAACCTCAGTCAACTGAGACGGACAAGGGAACTAAATTCCAGGGATCGAAACCTTCTTTACTGGGAATTTAACAGTAGGAACAGTTGGGAAGAAAGTGCAAAAAACACATAAGATGCATCTCGCTCTCTCGCTGTGCTCAACTCGTGAGAGAAAGACGAACAAAACGAAAGCGTTGAATTCGACTGATTCACCTGCCAGACGGATCCAGAAAGGGTTTTGAGACGGCGGACCCCGCTAAATTGACGGAGGCGCCGGTTGTGAATCCGGTGGAGGTCCCCGACGTAGATGACGACCACCCGTTCATGCTGGTCAGGTTGAACCCCGAAACGGAAACCCCTCCATAGGACGGCTCCGGCATCTCCGTCGGAAGATTAGGCAACGGCATCTCGAACAGGAGGATGCCGGTCACCTGCCGCATCGAAGGCCGTTGCCGGTGGTCCGGGTGGGCGCAGCACAGGCCCGCCACCATCAGCCGCTCCATCTGCTGCCGGTCGAAGTCCGAGCCCAACCTCTTGTCTGCCGCCTCCAAAATGGCCCCCTTCCCGTAGAGATCCCATACCCAGTCGACCAGACTGACTCCTCCCTCTTTATTGCCGTGATCGATCGGTCTCCTCCCGCACGCGATCTCCAAGGCCAGCACCCCAAAGCTGTACACGTCGGACTCCTTGCTCGCCCTGCCCGTCGTCGCGGTCTCTGGTGCCAAGTACCCCATCGTCCCAGCCACGGCCGTCGTCTCCATGCCGCCGCCGTGGTCGACCAGCCTCGCAAGGCCGAAATCCCCTAACTTGGCATTGAAATTGACGTCCAGCATCACATTGCTCGACTTCACGTCCCTGTGGACCACGCACTGCTCCGACTCCTCGTGGAGGTAAAGCAGCGCCGCCGCGACACCCCGGGCGATGCTGTACCTCGTCGGCCACGGCAGCGGATTGCCGCCGTCGTTGTAGAGGTGGGCGTCCAGGCTGCCGTTGGGCATGTACTCATAGGCGAGAAGCAGTTCCCCCTTTTCGTGGCACCACCCCACGAGCTGCACGAGGTTGCGGTGGCGCACGCGGCTGATGACCTTCACCTCGGCGACATACTCCTTCTTCCCCTGCCTCGAATCTTTTGCCACTCTCTTTATGGCCACCACCATTTTCGGCTGGTTCAAGATTCCTCTGTAAACGTCTCCGAATCCTCCTCTTCCAAGCTTTTCTTCTGGCGCAAAGTTCCTGGTAGCCCGGGCGAGTTCCGAATAAGAGAAGCTCCTGGGGCCCTTCCCTTCATCAAGTTCGCGCTCATCGATGGCGTCGTCCTGTCCCCCGTTCTTGGCATATGCCCTTCTCCGCCGGACGAAGAAACACGCCAAACCCGCTGCAATTGCCAGAGTTCCCGCGCCAGCTAACACACCGGCCAGAAGGCCTATATTGCTGCTCTTCTTTCCCCCACCAGCGTCGCCGCCGTTTGTACTGCTGCCGTTACGGTCGGCAACATCTAGGCTTGAATTGAAGCTCCAGGAATGTATTACATGGCGTTCGAAGAATGCGCCAGTGGTGCCCGCGAAACCAAGGTCAACCCTCTCGGGAAGCTCCTTTCGCAGGTCGACAACGTAAGGCAAGTTTCTGTTGTAGCCGCTGCTGCCGGAGAAGATGGCTGTCAGCGTGGTGGTGGCTGCGTCATAGGTGATCACTGCGTCGATCGTGGCTCTGGTCTGGCCCTCGAGCGACTCCCAAGACGAGCTCCTAATCGACTTGATACAGCCGAGGTCGATCCCCACATGGGCTACCGTCTCATCATAAAAGTTTCGGAAGGTGTCGAACTCGACGGCTAGCACAGGGACGTTAGCTGGTTGGCTTACACATGAGCTGTTGAAGAGCGTTAGTCCGCCACCCGTGCTGTTCTCCGGAATAGGGTAGCCGACAGGGGTGAGGAAGAAGGCTAGTCCATCAGCGAAAGTCGTCGTGTTCGGACGCCGGATCACGGAGAAAGAGAATTTTGTGGTGAAGCTTGCGAGATTCCCGGTTTCGTTGTCCCAGAGGCGGATTGGGTTGGAGTAGATGGCTCGGCCGTAGCTGTATCCAGCGTTCTCGTTGAGCTCGAGGGATCCGTTGGCGGATGAGGCATCGGCCAGGAAGGTGATGTTTGCAGGGCTGGAGTCGAACCTGGGGAAGTCGAAAGAGGTGGTCACCGTCTCGCCTCCCGCCTCGAGGACGAAGGCGAGCAGGAGGAGCAAAGAGGCGATGGACGCGCCCGGCGGCATGGCTCTCGGATGATTTCTTTCAGTGGAGGTGGGCTAGGGCCTGCCCGAGGCCGCTTTAAGGTCTGAAAGCCGTCACGGCACTGCAGCAAGGAAACAGAGAAAAGTGTTCGGCGTGGTGATCGAAACAATTAGAGGTAATGTGTCACATTCGAGCGCTCCCGCTGGGCGAGAGTGGATGGCGGCGCCCCTCATAAAAATAATTCAACCGCCTCTAGAAGGAACTCCGGGGGACCCAATGAAAATTCTGAAGTCCGACGCTTTGATAGAAGAAACATACCGAATGGAATGATTTTGAATGTAGATTCACCAGTACAAAGCCTTCACCCAATATAATTTGTTTATTAGTTATATTTAATTATGTATATAATAATATATCTACTCTTTTTTCTCCTAATGACGGGATTACTCATCCATTTTTTTCCTATGAAATTTGAATAATGCGGCGAAAATCGCTTCGGTCTACGCCGTGTTGCCGTGAGGCTTTCAAGAAAGGCGGCGTCCATCGTTCTTTCCCCGGCTCTTCGGGTTCAGATAGGTCGCGACGTCCCTTCCCGGAAGGACGACGAAGAACACCAACGAACCGTGCGCTGGCCACAAGGACCCGTCTCTTAAGTTAATCTCAACACGTTTTATTCCATTCAACGCATTGTGGCCTGTCCACGTTGACCTGTACGCTGTCCATGGCGAGGAGGAAAGCTGAGCTGTGATGAGACCCTTCACAGCTCAGCTTTCCTCCTCGCCATGGACAGCGCACAGGTCGTAATCTCTTCGGACAAGTTGACGCCAGAAGAGACTGTTTCGTCAATGACCGCCGTGGGCCCCACAGCCTGACACTTCTGCGAGGAGATGGAGACAAGGGGAGACCCGGGGGTCCTCCCCCTAGAGAGAGATGGACCCAGGGTCTCTCTCCTCGTCTTCTTTCTTTTTCATCTTTCTGGAGGAATGGTTCTTCGGGTAGGAATCATCAGCGTGGGGGCCGCGAGGGGTCGACTGGTGAAGAACAGAAAAGTGGGCACCTTCGAGACCACGTCGGCAGCGCACCGGCCCAGGGCCATTTAGGAAAGATTTTCCGTACTATCAATCTCCATTTCCTTCTTTTGATAACCTTAGAACGAGATTAGAGATAATTTTGAGGAATTACCTATTTTCGCTCAGTGAAGGAGAGGCCGTCAGGGTCAACCATGATCGCTGCCTGAAGGAGAGGCCGTGAGGGTCGACAATCTTCGCTGCGTGAAGGAGAGGCCGTGAGGGTCGACCATCTTCGCTGCGTGAGGGAGAGGCCGTGAGGATCGACCATCTTCGCTCAGTGAAGGAGAGGCCGTGAGTGGCAACATCCGTCCGCCTATTTCCGCCGTCGCCCGTTATCCAGCTGCTGCCTTTCCGACATTATCCGCCTTCCGCCCACCGTCGTCCGTCGCCAGCCTTCCATCCGCCACTGCCGCCGCCCTCAAAGCAGTCCATCATCATTCTCCGCCGCCAATTACCCCGTCTCCACAACCGCCATGCGCCGCCGCAGCCGCCACCATTGCCACCGTTTGCGGCTGACATACCATGCCTTCCTCAGCCCTTCAGGCCGTTCCGCCGCCGCTCGTTTCACACTTTCTGGACGAGTCCCCATTCTCGTCTTACCGGGTAGGGTTAAACCCGATGGGTCGCGAATCCGGATCGTCCGACCCGATCGAACCATTCCTGCCCGGCCCAGTCTGGTTCGACCGTTTGGTCCAAGCCAGCCAGCCATATCGGTCCAAACCATCTGCCCACCTGGTTTGCGCAAGTCCGCCACACCGGTTCAGTCATTACGAACTCAACCGGCCAAGCCCAGTCTGACCCAAGTTCAAACCAGTTCAACTAGGTCGGCTCGTCGGCCAATCACGGTCAACATTCAATGTTCAACGTTCAACGGTCAACATTTCACATGTCAGGACGGTCAACGGATCATCTCAAATTGTTTCTTATCAAATCAAACATTCTAACCAACTATGAGGATGGCTATGATCCAAAGGGGGTTGAAGAGAGGTAAAGAGAGGATGGTGCTGCCGCCAAAGCTGAACAAACTCATTAAGTACGGAAAAGAAGAACTAGGTTGAGACTCTTAGGACCATCAATCCATGTAGATTGTTCATGCCTGAACTGTTCATCTGCTCTTGCCACTTGAATGACAGATGATTTCCCACAAAAAAATGAGACAACAAGAAAAGATGCCATCTTGTATGCAAAGTAACTACTAATTCATATAAGCATCATCTAAAAAGGTCATCACTTAAGTGATTGATGATAGAACTTTGACATCAATAGAGGGAAAAATGATTCCACTAAAATGGATTATGGAAGCCAACAATCTATCTAATCACTATTACAAAAGAGTCAACTAATCAATGGAGTGAATTAGACGGGGTAAACATTAAAAAAGAGGAAGACAACTCTCTATCTAATCACTTTTGCTCATTAAAACAACATTATGTTTAACACCACTAAACAACCTAGGATGATGGAAGCCAACAATCTATGACAATAAAAGTCAAACATTGATTCACCATCACTGAGCAGCTTATAACTATGAAGTCACATAGTGGAAAGAGAGACAATGGCTCTTGAGATACAACTAATTGTATCCAAGGAAGACAATGTGTTTGGATCATTGAGCAAGTTTGTTTGGTACATGAGGATGAAGGTAAAAATAGCATACACAAAAAAGTATAGAGAAAGGAATAATCTGGTGGTAGGTTGAATAGATATTTAAATGGAGATATTTTTTTAAGAATTGGGGTGGGGAGACAATGGATCAAGTAAATAGTTGTGGAAACAACTTTATCTCAAACTTAATGCGGCATATATGTATTGTAGAGAGGAGTAAGAATGGCCCAAGTGATTTGGCAGTATCTACATTCTACTATACCATTTTGTTTAGGCGCATGTGGATAGTACACACAATGCTGAATATCATGTTGTTGAACATGGCAATGGAGATATTGATATTCTCCATCCAATTACTTTTTAGGACACAAACATGAGAAGCAAATTGGCATTCAATTCATGAGTGAAAAAAGTCAAGTATATTTACTATCATAAACAAAAAGAACATAATTGGAGAAACAACGATAAGATTATATAGGAGCAAGTCCTTAAAGGAAAGAATGGACTAATTGTACAAGTAATCGTGTTGAAAAAGAAGATCTTGCAAATGATAATTTGTGACTTTTTTGATAAAAAATTTATATGACATTACATAAAACTCAAATTCTAATTACCTTTGTACTTCTATGTTTTTCATGAAATTGGAACTAAGTGTCTCAACAACATTTAGATCAATTGCAGCACCACAAAACCTCATGCCTTTTCATCCACTTAAGTTATCCAAAGATAATTATGTATTGCGGAAGGTTTAATTTTCCCTCTCCTCAATAATCATGTATAATTATCTTTGGTTGATAATTCCATTCCACCTCCACTTCCAACTGTTGTCAATGAAAAGGGAGTTTCATGTTTCAATCCAGAACTCCACGCGTATGAATAAAAGTATCAAATTGTTCTCTCATGGATTTTATCATAGGTCATGGAGCCTAATTTTCTTTAACCAGTTGGCAACAACATGTCCAGGGAAGCGTGCAATGCACTAATTAGAGCATTCTTATCTTGATCTAAATCTTGAATTTTATAGTTACATACCAAGTTTTATGCTTCACAACATGAGATGTATTCTCTTCAAAAACATCTACAATCTATCAAAGATTGTTGAAGAAAAACTTTCAGCTATTTGTCAACTAATAGATGATTAGAAGCTTATTATTATAGTTCCTAGTGGAACGAGACCAAGTAATGAGGCCTTTATTAATAGTATGGCTACTTAGAGGTTCTCACTCTAGAGAATGTTATTGCACATCTAATTGCACATGAGACAAGCATGACACTATCATTCTTCTTAAGATGATCGAGAATATCATGCAACCAATTTTGTTCATAAAAGTCAAAATGTAAGTGGAGGACATGGATGTGGTTAAAGTAAATAACAAACACTATGTTTTCAAATTTTACCTCTAATTTTAACTGTGTCCCAAATGTTGAGAGTGCTTCAGTAAGATTTTATATAGAGATATCATAAATAGATAACAACATTAATGGCATAATGAACCAACCAAAATGGTCACAATCTAGTGCCTATGTAACTATTTATGATATCAGATGATGGATCGTCAACAAGGAGTTCAACATCATTGTATCCAAATAGTGGAGCTCCTCGTGACATTACACAAGATGGTAATAGGCTCTTTGATTATAAAACCTACATAGCTTTCGACAATCTACAGTCGGAAAGGATGAAAATATGCCCATTTTATCCTTTGGATTTGGATCCTTAATACTCCCTCATATTCTCTTAAGCTAAATAATAATTTTTGTGTTCCTAGCACCACTCATAATTTTCTTTCAATTTGTAAACTTATTGTCATGTCAACGACCGGATCATGAGAAAAGTTCTTCTGTAAGTACATCTCATGTCAAAAGAGTAAAGAAGGAGAGAGAAGGCCTTTTAGTGTTAGAGAGAGCTATGAAGAGGGAATGTAGAGAGAACGGAATACTGTTGATCCTTGCTTGTTCTACAAGAGGTCCGGGGGTTCTCCTTTCATATGAGTTCCGGAGGCCCCAGGGTTCTACACGAACACTTTACGGGGAAGGATAGACATCCGATTCCCTGAGAAACGGTCGACGAGAAACCTCCCAACCGTTTCTCACGGATCCACGGCTTTCTCTCTTGAGAATCGGTCCACAATGTGACCATTTCTCATGGACAAGGTGGATCGCTTACAGACACAACGTGGCAGATATGCAAGCTGGATCGCATCGTCCCCAGAGGTCGATCATGCGGACTGAGGCTAGCCCTCGCATCCGCTGCACTAGTCGAATTGCAAGTCAGCCTTCTGCAACATGCCTACCACTTAGAGATTTTTCTCCCCCAGGACTAGTACAGAACAATCTTAGGTTACTACAACTAGAAAAATATATAAGTTTAAAAATTTTGTCCACCATGGATCCCACGTCAGTTGGTTCTCTCATTGTAATGCTTGTTCTTGCTTGTCTTACCTTATTGTGTCAATGCATGCTTTCTTTCATTCCTGGTGTTGATTTTTTTCTTTCATTATATTGTGTCGTCTACTCTCCTATCCTTTCCTTGTTTTTTGATGTGATTTGGTTAGTGCCCTTAATTCAGCTCTTAAAGATCGAAATCCTGCAAAATATAAACGACATAATTCGAGTTTCCTTGTAGTGGAGCATGTTGTTGCCCGTTTTACTTGGGGTTGTGCATGCAACTCTCCTTTAGTCTTCTTTCCCTGTTTCTACTCCTATTTGTCCAGCTGCTTCCTTCCAACCTCATCTCATTGTGAGTCCTCTGCATATTCCTCATCGACACTTCAAGATGAAGAACACACCCCTCTCTCCTCTCAATTAGTGCAGTGATTATTTTTCGTCCTTGGGTGACTTCTCCTATTGCTGGTGATGGTTATTTGTTGCCCCATCTTACGTACGGCAGCCCCCCTCTTTCAAGCTTGTAGATGCTACAAGCTGCTTTCGGTAGCTCCTTTAGAGACCAATATTCCCTGTATGACTCATTTAAAAGAGCTTGATCAGCTAAGAAGTCGGGTAGGGAGTTGCCTTCCCGATATTGGTGTTCAATACGTTGAATGTCTTGAACTCGTGCTATTATTTGATTCCACCATTTCATGAGTCTCTATTGCTAGCATTTCTTTTATAGCATCATTTGAACCAAGACCTTTGAGTCAGTCTCAACCCATATTTGCATAAGCTTGAGCCTCCCACATAGGATCAGGCCATCTGCTAGCACCCTGTACTCAATCTCCATTTTAGTGCCATAATTAAAAAAAATTGAAAAAGTTAAAATGATGTCCAATGCTGTCACGCATGATTCCACCTCCCCCCGCTTTACCTCGATTGCCTCATGAGACCCTAACTATGTTTAATTTCACGTAATGCATGGGTGGAAGGGTCCATTTATACATTGAAATGATCCATGACTCTTAGTTTTCCCTACAACCAAACCCCAACCAGCTAATAATGTTGCTTCCTCCTTAGTTATAAGTCTACGGGGCAGAGCAAGTGAATCTAATCCAACCGCCCACGATTTACATCTATGGATGATGAAAGCAGATTGGTACCCTTTTCCGGCCATCTTCACTTCGTTTCTCCTTTTCCATATTTCTCACAGCATGCAGCCGAATGTCCTTCTCCTCATTTAATCTGCCTTCGATTCTCTCATTTTCTTCATTCCTAAAATGGTCTTGACCTCTGTCTAGGTAAGTTCCATTTGAGTAGGAACCAAGACCAGCACACCACCGCCCATTCACTTTCAAAGAACAAGTGACTAAAGTCTCAATTTGTGGATGGGTCGGGCAGCAACAACATTTCCAAGGTAATTGGACTCCTAAGTGCCATAGATTTGCATCGATGAGCAGTCCACCTTTCTTCGCTTCAACTTACGCTTTTAAACATGTATCGATAACAGCAAGACTAGGCCTAACTTTTAGGTCTCAATTACAAAGTTTAACGTAATTTTATGCAAATTTTCGTTCTACTCATAATATTAGTTAGCAAGTAGAACCTCAGCTTCAACAGTACTATCTAGACGAGGGGCCGTGAACCTTAACAGTGCTGTGTCTCCACGCACGGTGATACAGCACGTGACAGTACGAGACCACAAGAGAATGGGCGGAAGACTCTAGCAGCATATGAGTGCGATCGAAACCTTCATTACAGAGATTATTACATCGAGAGAGCTGGGAAGAAAGTGCGAAGCGAATAAAACGGAAGTTTTGTATTCGCTGCTTTACCTGCCGACCGGATACAGATGTGGTTTGCCGGACCCCGCTAAATTGACGGAGGCGCCGGTTGTGAATCCGGTGGGGGTCCCCGACGTAGATGACGACCACCCGTTCATGCTGGTCAGGTTGAACCCCGAAACGGAAACCCCTCCGTAGGACGGCTCCGGCATCTCCGTCGGAAGATTAGGCAACGGCATCTCGAACAGGAGGATGCCGGTCACCTGCCGCATCGAAGGCCGTTGCCGGTGGTCCGGGTGGGCGCAGCACAGGCCCGCCACCATCAGCCGCTCCATCTGCTGCCGGTCGAAGTCCGAGCCCAACCTCTTGTCTGCCGCCTCCAAAATGGCCCCCTTCCCGTAGAGATCCCATACCCAGTCGACCAGACTGACTCCTCCCTCTTTATTGCCGTGATCGATCGGTCTCCTCCCGCACGCGATCTCCAAGGCCAGCACCCCAAAGCTGTACACGTCGGACTCCTTGCTCGCCCTGCCCGTCGTCGCGGTCTCTGGTGCCAAGTACCCCATCGTCCCAGCCACGGCTGTCGTCTCCATGCCGCCGCCGTGGTCGACCAGCCTCGCAAGGCCGAAATCCCCTAACTTGGCATTGAAATTGACGTCCAGCATCACATTGCTCGACTTCACGTCCCTGTGGACCACGCACTGCTCCGACTCCTCGTGGAGGTAAAGCAGCGCCGCCGCGACACCCCGGGCGATGCTGTACCTCGTCGGCCACGGCAGCGGATTGCCGCCGTCGTTGTAGAGGTGGGCGTCCAGGCTGCCGTTGGGCATGTACTCATAGGCGAGAAGCAGTTCCCCCTTTTCGTGGCACCACCCCACGAGCTGCACGAGGTTGCGGTGGCGCACGCGGCTGATGACCTTCACCTCGGCGACATACTCCTTCTTCCCCTGCCTCGAATCTTTTGCCACTCTCTTTATGGCCACCACCATTTTCGGCTGGTTCAAGATTCCTCTGTAAACGTCTCCGAATCCTCCTCTTCCTAGCTTTTCTTCTGGCGCAAAGTTCCTGGTAGCCCGGGCGAGTTCCGAATAAGAGAAGCTCCTGGGGCCCTTCCCTTCATCAAGTTCGCTCTCGTTGATGACCTCGTCCTGTCCTCCATTCTTGGCATATGCCCTTCTCCGCCGGACGAAGAACAGCGCCAAACCCCCTACTATTGCCAAGGTTCCCGCGCCGGCTAGCACACCAGCCAGCAGGCCGATGTTGCCCCCTCCGGCGTCACCTCTGTTTGTAGTGTTCCCCTTACCGTGGGCAAGATCCAAGCTCGAATTGAAGCTCCAGGAATGTATCACATGGCGTTCGAAGTATGCGCCAGTTGCGCCAGCGAAACCAATGTCAACCCTCTCGGGAAGCTCGTTTCTCAGGTCGACGACGTAAGGCACGTTCCTGCTGTAGCCGTTGCTGCCGGAGAAGATGGCTCTCAGCATGGTGGTGCCTGCATCATAGGTGATCACTGCGTTGATCGTGGCTCTGGTCTGGCCCTCGAGCGACTGCCAAGACGAGCTCCTAATGGACTTGAAGCAGCCAAGGTCGATCCCCACATGGGGGACCGCGTCATTCCCTTCGTCTTGGAAGGTGTCGAACTCGACGACTACCACGGGGACCTTTGCCGCCTGGCTTACACATGATCCATTGAAGAGACTGAAAGAGCCACCCGTGCTGTTCTCCGGAATAGGGTAGCCGGGGGGAGCGAGGAAGAAGGCTAATCCATCAGCGTAATCCGTCATGTTCGGACGCCGGATCACGGAGAAAGAGAAATTTGTGGTGAAGCTTGCGAGATTCCCGGTTTGGTTGTCCCAGAGGCGGATTGGGTTTGTGTAGATAGCTCGGCCGTAGCTGAATATGTCGTCCTTGTTGAGCTCTAGGGATCCGTTGGCGGATGAGGCATCGGCCAGGAAGGTGATGTCTGCGGGGCTGGAGTCGAACCTGGGGAAGTCGAAAGAGGTGGTCACCGTCTCGCCTCCCGCCTCGAGGACGAAGGCGAGCAGGAGGAGCAAAGAGGCGAGGGACGCGCCCGGCGGCATGGCTCTGGGATGGTTTCTTTCAGTGGAGGCGAGTTAGGGCCTCCCAGAGGCCTTTTCAAGGCAGGAAAGCCGTTCAGGGTGAGAAACCCGCCACGCCAATCCGTCGTGCATGCGTGGGATGCTGACTTGAAGCAGTCAAACAATTTCTAAAAACAAATTATAAGCCTGGTCGTCGTAATGGTTGGTGATCGTTTATTAGATCCGAGCGCTTATTCGTGTGGGCGATTGGGAAGCGGCCTCTATAGAATGCGGCGATAATCGCTAGGGTCTAACGCGTTGTCCGCTGAGGCTCCCCAAGAAGGAAGGCAGCGACCATCCACTCCGACGTTGAGTTGCCGGGAGCACCGCGTGCAGCTTACATCGTTAAGAACAGGAGGGAGGGGGGGCATTGAGATTAGTGCAGGACGTTACTTCCCGGCCGGAAGGATGAGGAAGATCATCAGCTGCTCTGCGGTGGCCACGAGGGGTCGTTTATTGCAATGAGGAGTAGCCCATCCAGGGGGGATGATTCGCGAAGCTTTTAATTTTGGATGCTAGGATTGTCGGAATCTTTTCAGAAATGAAGATTTACGAGGGAAGAGGGGAGATGATCGGGAGAGATAAGGAAAAGGCGCGGCGGAGAGATGCGTCAGTAGACTTAATTTGACCACATCTTATTGCATTCAACGTGAGTGCCATGAACTCGTTGACTTTTACGTTGTCCTCGGCAAGGAGGAAAGCTGAGCAAAACGCTCGTGGCTGAGGGAGGGATTCTCATCGAGTCCCTTCTAGAAATCGTTTTCGTTTCAACGTCTCGGCTTTCAGTCGTTAAAAGCAAATTTTTGTGCCGACCATCTCGCTTCGAACATACAGGGCCCAGGGATTCTTCCCTCGTGTTCTTTCTCTTCGTCGGGGAAGGATCTTCGGGTAGGGATCAGCTGGTCAACGAGGTGTACGAGAGGTAAAGGTCACGTCTCAGAAGAAGGTAAATGGCACGAAAACGGCAATCCGGTTCGGGGGACCGGACTTCCAAGCACGCCGTCAATAAACAAGCTTCTTCGAAATGACCGGCGCTTTACATAGAAGATTACCAGAACGATAAATGAGGATGACTGCATAAGAGAAGAGAAGAGAAGAGGGCGCAAACTATTAGGAAAACAGATGGAGCATTTAAGGATAAATGGCGACGGCCCAGTTTAGGCCCGCTTACTCCTTTCCAGTGAACCTTCTCTCCAAAATCTGGTCCATTCTCTCCAAATTATTCATACCTGTTTTCCCCCGCTGCGGCGCTGGCCCGCCAGTGGTCGGCACGGACGACCACCGAGCATGCAATGCAATCAATGTCCTACACTCGTCGGCCCCGTCATTGCGGAGGAGCCGCAGGTTGCATCTTGGAACCCAGGGCACCGAACACAGGCCTCCGCCCGACATAGCTCAGCCCTACGACCATCAGGCTCTTCATTCGCCGCTCGTCAAAGTCGTCGCCGGGCGTCTTGTCCGCAGGCTGCGTCGTCCGGCGGATCTCACTGGGAGTTACAACATTTACCGCGCTGGAACATGCTGCCCCTCTTTGTCGACGGATCTCTTCCCCCCGGTGATCTGCAAGGCCATCACCCCGATGCTATCCAAGTCCTGACTCCTCGCTCGCCTGCCCGTCGAGGCGTACTCCTGCGCTATGAAGCACATCGTCCCTCTCGGTAAGATGGGTTGTCTTCTGACTGGGTAGACGAGAGAGAGTGGTATCCGCACCGGGCTCTGATGGGTGCTCAAGATGAGTCGGCCGAATCTTGAACCAAAGATGGGCTACGATGGGAAGAAAAAAACGAAGAGACAGGGTGCTGGAACTTGACTGATGCACGAACACTGAATACAGAGAGAGGGTCCTCGTTCCTTTTCTTCTTCTCTTTCTTATAAGCGAGGTCCGCCGGTTCGCTTGAGCCGTTCTGTCCGAGTCTCCGCGGTCGCTTAACGCCCCGACCAGCCCTGCTGATCATTAGGCACATCTTAACGGTCACCGCCCTCGGCCGTCGTCGACCGTTCGGCTGTTTCTTGCAAAGGCTCCGTATACCCGATTGCCTTCTGCGATCGGATCCGGGATCTTGGCCTACGTGGATTCTTCGTTGAGGCTAAGGCCTCAACAGGCTCTAATCCATCTTTCCCTCTCTCTCATTCTCAGATGGTTTATTAAAAGGGTCTTATCGTTGGGAAGTCCTAAATTTTTGGCGGGTGAGCCTCACTTAGAATAGAGAGGTTGACTTTGAGCAACATGGTGGAGCAAACCAATTCTTGGTATTCAAGAACACTTGATGGGAGTCAATCAACATCGTCCTAATGTTCTCCACTCACTTTGATTGTCTCTTGAGGCATATCATAACGGTAATTGTGATACCATGGATCATAATGCAATGTATTTTGACGGTTGGCAATGACAATTAGCCTAATTTGGCCAACTTAGACAAGTGAGCTGTAGTTAATGAGAAAGTTAGCCTATTCAATTAAAATATTTGAATCGTACAAACTCAAATGGTTAATAGTTTTCAGATTTTATTTAATTTAAGACTAAGTTAACCTAACTAGTGACAAAACAAAGGTATTATCAAGCTTAATATAAGTTAACGCAAGCCAATTATCAAATGGCCTCTAGATGAACAATATTCTAGAGGAATGGTTTAGAAATGATGCTAATATATCATAACAAATGTTTACTTAGGAAGGTCTTTGGCATTAATCAAGTTTTATGCCAAAGTTGAAGACATTATAATACACATGCCGCACTTTGTCTGGCCAGTAACTGAGGTCGATTGTATCTTATCATCCGCGGTAATTATTCGATGAGGCAATAGAGAAGTTATGTTGGAAGATTAGATGGGGTCATAGAGAAGACGGAGAAATCATGGGTTTATCACAAGAGCCTAAGGAGCTTGTGGCTTGTTGAGGCTCGGTGGGTCGAAGTCCAAGCTTGGAGATAGTTGGGTTGGGTTTGGAGTTGCATTCAAATGACAGCATCGGGGTCCCATAAGGATGTCTACCTTCCATGAAATGAAGGGTTAGCATCCCCATCGCCAACCAGAGGGGCCCCACAATTCACTTCACTCCTCAAGTGTCAGGCAGCTCCAATCTGGGCATCCACGCCAAGCAAGGACTTGTGAATCAAAAAATGGTTACGCAGTGTAGGCGTGGCTTCTGTGCCATTCTTCGCTCTGAAAGTCACGAAACTGACTTGTGGAGGTGAAGATAAGAGATTTTCTGTTCGCAGCATTCGAGATTCTCCCCCAGGAGTAGACGTCCATCATTCATAGCAAAAGATTCGTTATCCCGAGTACATCTACAGATATACGATTGAAATCCAATAACCTGACATGTGTGCAGTTCATCCTTGCATGGCTCCCTCCAAGTAAGAGCCTCCTGTCAGCCAGAGGATGAGTCTTGGCTTACAAGTGACGATCATTGATCTACCAACAGAGAGATGGAAGATCACACTATTGGGTACGTAACCCACCTAATGGGAACATCCCCCATTCTTTTCAGCCCAAAGAGACACGTTTCAGAACGTGGCCCATCTCTTATCGGGTGGGAGTTCCCTCTAGGGCCATCAATTCATATTTTTCTCCAATTTCTTTTCACGCTTATTTGCCTCAAGTGGCAGCAGCTGGAGAGAAGATGACAAACCATCAAAAGAATGAGAGCAGGAACACCATGTCAAGCAATAGAAGGGTGGAGAGCCATCAATTGTTGAACGACAAAGAGGAAGAGCCTTCATCCATAGGTCTTGTTGTTCCATTGAGCTACGTTTATCACAGCAGAACAATGGAAGAGAAGGAACGTGGGAAGAAGACAAGGATATATTTGTGTCAGTATTCTCTCTACTAAAAGATCAGATTGAGAGATGTTCTTCGCTGGATCTAATAGGAGAGTTTTATTATTATGAGTGGCAAAGAGGAAGAGCATATATCTTTAGGTCTTGTTGTGCCATTGAGTTACTTTTATTATTGATTACATCATCTGCAAGCTACAACAGAGCAACGAGAGAGAGAAAGAACGTGGGAAGAAGACAAGGATCTATCTCGGGCAATATTATCTTTACTAACAGATCAGATTAACAACATGTTCTTTACTGGATCAAGTGGAAGAGTCTAACTACTATGAAATGATTAACAGCATGTTGTCTTATAGTGGAAGAGCATGTTCTCTCCACTATAAGATCATTAACAGTATGTTCTTCCCTAGATCAAGTGAGAGAGTCTTATGGTTGTGCGTGGCAAAGAGGAAGACCCTGCATCCTTAGGTCTTGTTGTGCCATTGAGGTTACTTTTCCGTGATAAACGGTATCGTTTCCTATTCCCGCCCTGGCCGTTTTCGTCCGTTTCTCCCTTTCACCATCGTCTTATCTCACTCTGGTCGCCTGGAAAGACGATCCAATTTAAGTGGGAGGTTGCCGTGCCGCCCCAGTTTCAGGAAGAGGATGGACAAACGTCGCAAGCCAGGATACATCATGGTAATGGGCCTAGCGAGAGCCCACAGTCAGCTGAGATGGACAAGGAACCTGAATACAGAAGATACATCTGTCTTTCTCGGTCGCAGCACTCAACTCCTGAGTGAAAGACGAACAAAACGAAAGTGTTGAATTGGACTGATTCACCTGCCAGGCGAATACAAAAGTGATTTGGAGCCGACGGACCCAGCTGAATCGACGGAGGCGCCGGTGGTGAATCCGGCGGAGGTCGTCGACGTAGACGACGACCACCCATTGATGCTGGCAAGGTTGAACCAAGAAACGGAAACCCTCCGTAGGACGGCCCTGGCGTCTCGACCGGAGAATTAGGCAACGGCATCTCGAAGAGGAGAACGCCGATCACCTGCCGGATCGACGGCCGTTGCCGGTGGTCCGGGTGAGCGAAGCACAGGCCGACCACCATCAGACGCTCCATCTGCTGTCGGTCGAAGTCCGAGCCCAGCCTCTCGTCCGCCGCCTCCACAACGGCGCTCTTTCTGTAGAGATTCCATATCCAGTCGACCAGACTGACTCGTCCCTCTTTGTTTCCATGATCGATGGGCCTCCTCCCGCACGCGATCTCCAAGGCCAGCACTCCATAGCTGTAAACGTCAGACTCCTTACTCGCTCTACCCGTCGTCGCAGATTCTGGGGCCAGGTAGCCCATCGTCCCAGCCACGGCCGTTGTCTGCATGTCGCCGCCGTGGTCGACGAGCCTCCCAAGACCGAAATCCCCTCACTTGGCGTTGAAATTGTCATCTAGCATCACGTTGCTCGACCTGACGTCCCTGTGGACCACGCACTGATCCGACTCTTCGTGGAGGTAAAGCAGCGCCGCCACGACACCCCAAGCGATGCTGTACCTCGTCGGCCACGGCAGCGGATTGCTGCCCCCGTAGAGGTGGGCGTCCAGGCTGGCGTTGGGCATGTACTCATAGACGAGAAGCAGTTCCCCCCTCTCGTGGCACCAACCTACGAGCTGCACGAGGTTGCGGTGGCGCACGCGGCTGATGACATTTACCTCGGCGACATACTCCTTCCCCTGCCTCGAATCTTTTGCCACTCTCTTGATAGCCACCACCACTTTCGGCTGGGTTAAGGTTCCTCTATAAACGTCTCCGAATCCTCCTCTTCCTAGCTTTTCTTCTGGTGAAAAGTTCATGGTAGCCCGGGCGATTCGAATAAGAGAAGCTTCTGGGCCCCCTCCCTTCGGCAAGTTCGCGCTCGTCGATGGCCTCGTCCTGTCCTCCGTTCTTGGCATAAGCCCTTCTCCGCCGTACGAAGCGCCACACCAAACCCACTGCAATTGCCAGAGTTCCCGCGCCGACTAGTACACCAGCTATCAGGCTGATGTGGCTTTTATTGTTGTCCCCACCGGCGTCGCCGCCGTTTGTAGTGTTGCCGTTACGGTCAACATAATCCAGGTCGTCTGTAGATATCTCCGTCTGCCCTCCAGCCCGCAGAACGAAGGTGAGCAAGAGGAGCAAAGAGGCGATAGACGTGCCCGGCGGCATGGCTCAGAGAAGAGTTCCGAGGAGGCGGGTTAGTGGCAACCTGAGGCAGTTTCAGCTGCGAAAGCCGCCACGGCACTACGTCCTGCAAGGTCTACGGCCTGCTCATCATTATACTCGGCGGTCGTTAATTAATGCGAACCCAGAGCTTATTGACTGGGCTAGTGGGTGGCAGCGCCACTTTAGAACGAGGCGATGATAGCTCTGGTGATGACTCCAAGAAAACAAGGCAGCGACTATCCACTCCGTTGGCTTATCGAATCCACTGCCGGGACACGAATTGAATGACGGGGCGGATCCTACGGGTTGAGACAAGATCGTGACGTCACTTCGCGCAATGATGACAAAGACAACCAACTGCCCCTACGGCGGCCTCGAGGACCCGCTTCTTGCGTTGGGGGATAAATCCGTTAAGCTTTTAGATTTTTAGGGTAAGATTCTCGGAATCTTTACCGAAATGAAGACTGATGAGAGAAGGGGAGAGAAGATAGGAGAACTAAAGGATTGGCGGAGACACGCATCGGTAGAACTTAATTCGACCATGTTTTATTGCATTCAACGCGATTGGCCTGTCCTCGTTGACCTCTATGCTGCCCTCGGCGGGGAAAGCTGAGTAGAAATTGGGAGTGACAGAGAGGTTCACGTCAACCTCTCGGCTTTCAGTCGTTATAATCAAAACGTTTGTGACGAGCGTCGCGCTTGGGTCAAGGTTGACCCCAGGGGAGGCTCTTTCGACAAGGACCGCAATGGGCCCCCCCAGCCTGGTACTAATGTGGACGGAGAGACGTAGGAGAGGGGAGACCATGCGTGTCCTCCCATGGAAACAGACTGGGGCCAAGGGATTCTCTCCTCGTCTTCTTTCTCTTCCTGGAGGAAGGTTCTTTGGGTAGGCATCGGGTCGTCAACGAGGGGTCGCGAGGGAAAAGGCACGTTACAGAGCAAGGTAAAAAATACACGAAATGCTAATCTAGTTCGGCCGACCGGACTACCTGTGTCTTATTTAGAACACGCATTCTGATGAGTACAGGAATGATAAATGAGGATGACTACAGAAGAAAGGGTCTTCCGAGGACGTAAACACGGGGTAGATCGAAGTTCTATGCCGAGATCCGTCGCTGCAGCGCTGACTCGCCAGTGGCCGACGCGGACGACCACCGAGCAAAACGAGCGGCGCCGGCGTCCACGGAGGAGCCGCTAGTTGCATCTTGGAAGCCAGGGAACCGAACACAGGCCTCCGCCGGACATAGCTCAGCCCTATGACCATCAGGTTCTCCATTCGCCACAAGTTAAAGTCGGCACCAGGCGTCTTGTCCGAAGGCTCCATCGTCGGGATGGGTCTTGCCTTTCTTCGCCGATGGGTCTCCTCCCCCTGTTGGTCATCTCCAAGGCTATCACCTCAAAGCTATCCAAGTCCAGACTCCTTGCTACTCTTACCCGTCGAATCGTTCTCCGGCGCTATGAAACCCATCTTCCCCGTCGGTACGGTGCATTGTCTTCTTACTGGGTAAACGAGGGAGAGGGGGGTTCCTCACCGGGCTCTAACTCTCCCTCTCTCTCTCTCTCTCTCTCTCTCTCTCTCTCTCTCTCTCTCTCTCTCTCTCTCTCTCTCTCTCTCTCTCTCTCTCTCTCTCTCTCTCTCTCATTTGGTTGATTAAGAGGGTCTTATCGTTGGGCTGTCTTAAATTTTAGGCGAGTGAGCCTCACTTAGAATAGAGAGGTTTATTTTGACCAACATGGTGGAGCAACCTCAGTCTTGGCATTCAACAAAACTTGATGGCGGTCGATCAAGATTATCCGAATGTTCTTGATGCGCTTTCATTATCGCTTGAGGCATATTTTAATGGTGATTGTGACACCATTATCATAATGGCGGCCCATCACAATGCGACGTATTTTGACAGTTGTCAATGACAAAAAGCCTAATTTGGCCGAGTAAGACAAGTGAGGCGTAGATAATGATAAAGTTAGCTTATTCAACTAAAATGTTTGAATACAATCTCAAATTTTGTATAGTTTACAATGCTGATTTAAATGAAAACTAAGTTAACCTAACTTATGACTGAACAAAGTTATTATCAAACTTAATATAAGTTAAGTTGTCAAATTGTCAAATTACCTCTAGATGAACGATATATAGAGGCATGGTTCAGCAATGATATCAATACACCATAACAACTAAGAGGTCTACTTTAGTTGGTAACTATCTAACTTTTAACTTCTTCATCAAGTTGAAAATCTTCATGTCTTAAGAGGTGGAGATCCTTTTATTGATGGCTCCGACAACTCCAAAATATCAACTGTTTATTATAGTTAGATTGTGTCTAATTATGAAAGGTACTACATTTGACTCAATAGGTTAACTCTCTTTCTCACCTTCTTCTATTGTCAAACCTGATCTTTATAGACCTGAACTTAAATAAACAATGAACTTCTCCAATTACTATTAAATATTTATTATTAAATCATTGCATATCACATAAACGGCCTAAAAATGACATTAATAAAGTATATATTATAGATATTAATTAACATACAAAATGTATATATTACAAGATATTAATTAATACAATTTGTAACCACAAATTGCATAGTATACAATAATGACAAATAATATAGTATATGAATAATAATTATAAAATATATTGTGAACAAAAACATCATATATATCTAATGGTAATCTAGTATATTGGTCATTCAGTTATCACTATGAAGAAATTAAATTATTATATTCAACTAATTATTATGTATCACTAGCAATCAAATATATAGCACCATTAAAAAACACCAAGGGTTCAAAACTTCTTAATAAAACTATTTAGGAATAGTGCAGTAGCATTGAATTTGCCTATCCTTGTACTAGAGCAAAAAATATTCAGATCACTAGCTTCACCTTATTTTTTTTCAATGCCTTTATCTTGGTGACAAAAAAAAACTAAGTTACCCCTCACCTTGAATTCATTATTGTCCCATGGAGAAGCTGACATATAAAAGTCTTGTAAGAATGGTCATATCGCTAACAACATTGATGTGTCTTTGGACATCATGTTGTCCACAATGAAGTAGCTTCCATTGAAATTAATGTATAAATACTATCCATTTGATCTCTACATGCCAATAGGGATCAAATTGGTTTCTAGGTAGTTTCTCTTTTTAAGTGATTTTAATTAGTTTTTACAAATTTCATTTTTGTGGTTACTAGATTAAACATACTTTTGGTGATATGATGGAAAATATAGTAAAATTCATAGAATAAAATATCAAATTGATCTCGAAATTAGGAAATAAGTTTGTTGATGATATTAGCCATTGTGGTCCTCAAATAAGGGTGACAAAATATCAAAGCTTGAATTTTACATGATTTGTATGATTCATGAATCCATTGTTCTATAATCAATTTTCAAGATAAGTCCAACATACAGATCAAACAAAGGTGGTCTAATAAGCACCAAAGCACAACCTGTCCCACATTTCAATGAACTGTTAATGCCCAAAGTCTGACGTGACTCACCTCACAAACTAGTAGTCATTAAGTCCCAGAGTGTTATAAGACCAATCTCAAGCAGTCATTAAACAAGATGGCGCAACCCAATAAGCTCGTAGACAAAAGAGGACTTCTTGTTAATCATTAAGTCATAGAGGAAATCAAAAGAATCAATAATAGAGTGAGAGAGAGAGAGAGAAGCAGAAGCAAACAGTGCAAGAAATTCCTCCCATCTTTATCATTCATCTCCAATTCAAATCTAGCAAGGATCTAAATGCCCTTGAGCATCAATTTTGCCCTATAATCATCCTCTACTTAAGCTTCAGTAAGCTAATTGAGTTTTTTTCATCATCCAAGTTGGCATTCTTCAATAGTGATAGTATTTCCTTCTTCATAAGGTCTGGATATATGCATCATATTTTATTGCTTTGTGAAGATTACATCCATTTTGCTCGGTTGTTTTCTGAAGAGAACTTGTGGTGTGTTCAGCTGTTGTGTCAAGAGCATATATTGTTGTGTTTGAATAATGTGTGAAGGGTGCATGTGGTGTGCTAGGCTGTTTTATGAAGAGAAGTGGTATGTTCAGTTATTCTTTGAAGAATACATATGTGGAGTGCTCATTTGTGTACCAACGGTTGTTAAAACTATGCTTTCTCGCAGGCCTTCATACACCTCTATGAGTTTATGATGTAAGGGCGGTTGATCCCAAAAAGTTAGATGGGTAATGGTCAGTAGAATCAACAAAAAGTCAAGGAGATAACTTTATAGGAATAGATTCAGCCGCCTCCTCGCCCCACCCCCCAATCCCCCCTTCTATAATTGTAAAGAATGTCATTCAACTAAAGTAGGTTGACATGTATAGATCTGGGTCAACATATTAACTTCACACAATAGTGGTTCGTCGGATCCTGCATTCCCATGGAAAAGGGCAACAGCAAGCCAAGACGTAGTTTTAGATGAAAACTAACTTCTATGCTATACCAAGGTGATCTTAAAAAGGGATTATTCAAGTGATACTAAAATGTTAGCATCAACTGATAGAAAGACGATCATTTCACTAGAAACGGATGGTAAATCACACGAGTAGGATGTAATCATTTCACTAAAATGTTAGCAGGATCACTTCCCCTTTAATCTCTGTTGCACATTAAAACTATATGATGGTTAAAATCACTGAACAAGCTGGCATCAAAACGGCACAGAAACGCAGCCTGCCAGACTGAATGAAAACAAGTCTAAATGTCCATATGCACACAGTATCTGCACATATCATCAATTATTTGATAAACATCCGTGGCTTACCGACCAATAAAGACGTCTAGAGAGAAGACAGAAAATTCGACCACGGACTCCTGTTGAAGCCCAGGCCAAGCTGAAAGAGAGGAAGATGGGAGTGACACACCAATAAGACCAGAGTGTTGAGTTCAAAGAGTCTAGTGTCCGTTCAGCAGAAGGGCCTCTGTCTATCGATAATAAGTGTGGCTGGCTGCTATTGCCGGTTCTGTCTTATCGTCCGCGATAATCGTTCAATGGAACGAGAGAGAGTTATGTTGCGAGTTGAGACGGGGTCATAGCGAAGACGAAGTAATCATGGGTTTCTCCCAGGAGCCTAAGGGGCTCCTGTGATAACTGAAATGGAAGCCACAGGGATGTCTATCCCTTCCGCGCAACGAAGGCTCAGCATCCCCATTGCCGGTCAGGGCAGCTCCGGTCTGGCCATCCAAGCCCAGCGGGGACTTTTCGATCAAAGAATGTATACGCGTCTCTGGCGTGGCTTTCGAGCCAATCCTCACTTCGAATATCACTAGCTGATGATTCGTCATCCTACGTATAACTATGACGTGCGATCGACATCCGATACCTGACCCGTGTGCAGTTCATCCTTGCACGGCTCCCTACAATTAAGAGCCTCCTGCCGGCCAGAGGACGGGTCTTGGCTTAAAAGTGACGATGGTTGATTCGGAGGGAGAGAGAGAGAGAGAGAGAGAGAGAGAGAGAGAGAGAGAGAGAGAGAGAGAGCGAGAGAGAGAGGGTGTAGATTGAGGATTAAGCGAGGAGGAGAATTATAAATCTCTCAACGAAGGGAAGGCGCGGATCTCTCTCTCTCCCTCTCTCTCTCTACCTGAAGACGTTGAAGATCACTCGAGCACTCTCCCTAGTCGAGATCCTGGTGCGCGTGATCTTCCCCGGTTCTCCAAGTACTCGTTTCAGCGGCTCCCAGCTTCTCTGTCTATCGTACAGCGTTATCATCTGCAGCCGACATATGCTCAGCTCCATGTCTTCTCCCGGCGTCCGTCTCCACTTCCCCGATGATCACCACGTAAGACTCTCCCCCCACCCCCTCGCAGTTCAGTTGTGGATCTATCTTATCTTCATCCTGATCGCGGGAATGCCCATCGAGGTAAACCATGCTATGTGTTTGTATAATTGTGCCAAAGAGAAATGAACTGTTGAGATCTCATCGCGCGACCTGCGGGTGCAGGTGGTCCTGGACAACGGCATCCTCCAGCTGACGTTGTTGAACCCCGAGGGGATAGTCACGGGAGTTCGCTACAACGGCGTCGATAATCTCATGGAGGTGCTCAATGGAGAATCCAACCGGGGGTATGTCACATCCGGCACTCTTCCTCTCTTGGCGAATTTCCGTTTATTTTGGTTAGATCAAGCGAGAAGCTAAATAAGACTTTCTCATTCGTATCGAACAGAGGGACCCATTGGTGGTTTGGTTGATTGTCTTTGTTTGCAGCTATTGGGACCTTGTCTGGAACGACCCCGGCGGTCCAGGAATCTTCGACGTGTGAGAACATCGTCTCAAGGCTGTCGATGAGAAATATTCTATCTCTTCTTTGATTGATTCCGATAGTACACGGTTCGTAATACTATCTACGTACCTTGGTAGCATTAAAGGCACCGAGTTTAGAGTCGCCCAAGAAGATGAAGATCAGGTGGAGGTTTCCTTCACGAGAAGCTGGAATGGCTCCCTCGAGGGAACCAAGCTCGTTCCCCTGAACATAGACAAGAGGTACAAACCATATAATGTATTAATATCACATAATATCCTGATCCACACCGTAAATCCCATCTTCTTATTCCTTCGCTGATCATGTCTCCCCCGGATCACGGATTCATTTCTTGGACAGTTCTAAATAGCTAAGATCAGCGCAGGTTTGTAATGCTCCGTGCCTGCTCGGGGTTCTACACCTACGCAATCTACGAACATATGGAAGGATGGCCCGACTTCAACCTCGGGGAGACGAGGGTCGCCTTCAAGCTCAGGAAGGACAAGTATGTTGATTACGCTGGCCGTCCATCTCAAACTCACCTGATAACGAGTAGAATAAGTCCATTTATTTACTTAATCACGGGTTTCATTTTTCTCGCAAACCATATGAGAATAATCTTCATTTTCTCGGATAACTCCCAAGACAAATGCCGTACATAATTGCGATCTCCATTTTTCCGGCTAGTAACAGCCTTCTTCTTCCGAGCCCCAGCGGAAGAAGAGCTAGGGGGAGAACTAGTCCTCTGGACCCTCTTCAATGCTTAACAAGGTTTCTTCATGTCTGTGTATTCTCCAGGTTTCAGTACATGGCCATAACCAGTGACAGGCAGAGGATAATGCCCATGCCGGAGGACCGACTCCCGGGACGTTGCCAGCAGCTAGCATACCCGGAAGCGGTCCTCTTAACGAACCCAATCAACCCGGCCCTCCGGGGGGAGGTGAGTTGACTCGATTTGGGTTTCTCCGTCAACATGGATGGGCTGGTTTGACCCTGGCCCTGAGCAGGTTGATGACAAGTACCAGTACTCGTGTAACAACGAGGACAACAAGGTCCATGGATGGGTGAGCTCCGATCCGCCGATCGGGTTTTGGCAGATCACGCCGAGTGACGAGTTCCGAACCGGCGGCCCCTTCAAGCAGAATCTCACATCTCACGTCGGCCCAACAACTCTGGCTGTAAGTCGCCCTTTTCATCGGGTTTATTATCCGCATTCAACAATGGGTCGTATATAACCCCCAGATGAATTGATGGAAGGAAGCGTGACCACGGAGTAGACTCCGATGAGGTTATCTCGAAGCGAAATCCCCGCTTCTAACGATTCCAGGTGTTCGTCAGCGCTCACTACGCCGGGGACGATCTGGTGCCCAAGTTCCGGAATGGGGAACACTGGAAGAAGGTCTTCGGACCCATCTTCATCTATCTCAACTCGACCGAGAGAGGAGCCGATGATTCTCACAGATCGATTCTCTGGCAGGACGCCGAGAAACAGGTCTTGGTTTTCCCAAAAAAAAAACATTGCTTGATTAATATAGAAATTACGGGAAAATGGCGTCCCTCTCTTGTTCTTCTTGTTCTTCTTGTTCTTTCGTGTCTTAGATGCGGACTGAAGTAGAGAGCTGGCCGTATGAGTTTCCGAATTCTGAGGACTTACCGAAGGCCGATCGCAGAGGTTCTGTCAGTGGCAGATTACTCGTCCGAGACAGGTAACCGGATACGTTAATCTCTGCGCTGACATTTACAATCCCACGAGAAGAATTTTCCCCCGCTAGCGTTGACTTATCGGCGTCTTTCCTCTCCTTACCGCCCTCAAGATACGTCTCAGAGGGAGACCTACCGGCTGACTCGGCCTACGTCGGTCTGGCTCCGCCTGGAGCACCTGGATCATGGCAGAGGGAGAGCAAGGCCAGTGAAGCTTACCCTCTTACATTGTTTAGAGATAGAATCTTGTCGCAGACATCAGCGCCGCATCTTCTTCATTTTACTTTGCTCCTGATTCGTGATCTAGAGCTATTTCAACATCATTTACGGACTAGTGGGTATGTGTGTTTAGGGCTACCAGTTCTGGACGAGGGCTGACCCCGACGGGTTCTTCCGCATTACCAACATAAGGGCCGGGGAGTACTGCCTCAACGCGTGGGTTCCTGGTTTCATCGGTGACTACCAGCGCGAGGCGGCCGTCACCATAGCCACTGGTAAAGAACAGCCTGATATCGCCGAATTATTAGAAGAATTTTGTCAGGGATGCCCATGTCAGTATTGATCGATTATCTATCTATCCAGGGTGTGAGATCGATCTTGGAGAGCTCGTGTACGAGCCGCCAAGGGATGGCCCGACTTTGTGGCAGATCGGCGTTCCCGACCGATCTGCGGCGTTCTACGTTCCCGACCCGAATCCCAACTACGTCAACAAGCTCTACGCCAACCATCCGGACAGGTAAGTAAAGCCCTGATGGGCACTTTGCAAGGCGCTGAGCGCGCCATCTGTCGGTAAATGGGTCAACGGTGAGGAGGTCCAGAGCGTCTAAATCACGTTGACTTTGCTCGCGGCAGGTTTCGGCAGTACGGCTTGTGGGAGAGGTACGCCGAGTGCTACCCAAAGGAGGATCTCGTTTATACTGTCAGCGCCTGCGATTACAGGAAGGACTGGTTCTTCGCTCAGGTCACTCGGTATGATCTGAAAATCTTGGCGGCAAAGCCTTCTGAGACCTGTTCCACAGATGTTCATAGATGGATGAATGGATGGATGGATGGATAGACTACTTGGGCTTCGGACTTGCAGGAAGAACGGCGACTCGGGATCCTACGAAGGCACAACGTGGCAGGTCAAGTTCAAGCTGGATTGCGTCGTCCCCCGCGGATCGTACACGCTGAGGATAGCCCTCGCCTCCGCTGCGCTTGCCGAATTGCAAGTAAGCCTGCCTCTCTCTCTCTCTCTCTCTCTCTCTAGGATTTATCCATCTTCCCCACCATTTTTATTGAGGATTGACCGACTGAGGGGATTTGCATGAAAGGTGCGATTCAATGACCCAACGGCGAGGCCTCCCCACTTCTCAACGGGCCTGATCGGCAGGGACAACTCGATCGCAAGGCACGGCGCCCACGGTCTCTACTGGCTGTTCAACGTCCCGGTGCAGAGCGGCTGGCTCCTCGCTGGGGACAACACCCTCTTCCTTACCCAGCCCCGCTGCGCCAGCCCCTTCCAGGGGCTTATGTACGACTACCTCCGCTTCGAAGGCGACCCCGCCTGCCCCTGACATCCATAGAGAGGGAGAGAAAGAGAGAGAATGAAAGAGGGTATGAACGATGATCCTCCTGTGATTCAGGAATGTCATTCGGTCATCAAATGTCTACTGATTGAAGGTCTATCATATTATTATTCAATGTCAGCGCCACAACCGGACAGAGGGCAGTGACAGGTGTCTGAACCCCTCGTTCGTCGATTCAATTCAATTCAATGGTTTCTTCTGAGATGGGGAAAGCCTCTGGGATACAGAGCGCGCCACCTCAGGCGCCGAGCATAGAAGAGGAAGAGCCCCGGCGGCACTCGTTGAGCATGTCGAGGTAGAACTGGCACTTGCTGATGTCGGCTCCGTTGCTGTTGATGCACTGCGCATACCAAGGAGTTAGATTAGAGAAAAGAACGGCGACGGTCTCCCGAACAAGCCAGCTGACTCTCACTATCTTCCATGGATGATTAAGATTATAAAATGTTAAGCTATCAGAACCCCTCCAATCAGCTCATTATTTGGCATTAATGGTCATCATAGCTACACGCCCCAAATGCTCTATAATGTGTCTCCGAGTGCTTACATCCTGGAAGGCCCTGGAATGTATGTTGCAGGAATCGGCACCAACGGCAGTAGGTGCAGCAGCTGCAGGAGCAGCCCCAGAGTCTACATACTCGTGCTGGACAGTGCGTGGCCCCATGACAGCATCGACGGCCCTATGGGCAACCGCGCTTCCTGTTCCAAATGCCATGCCTGGAGAGTCGATGTGGCGCATTAGCAAATGGCAGGGATGAAGTAATTAATAAATATTTTCTATGAAATTTCAAACCCACCCTGAGCAATTGTGGAGCCGATCCCCCCAAGAATTGACCCACCGCCACTCTGGAGAGGGGCCGGAGGCGGAGCCTGGCTCACTGCAGTATGAGAATATGTGGAGAGATCAATCATCAGCGAGTCATCCAGCAGCGAGTTCCATTGGTAAATCAGATGCAACATCTAGAGAACCAAAGCAGCACCGTACCAATTACTAAAAGAAATACAGGACTCGGAAAAATAGGTTCGAGTACAATAGTTAATCTTCTTTTCAGCGGAGATAAAAATAGATGATGTTTTGCAGAGGAAGATCATCGGTGCAAGAAAATTCACATCAATTTTGCGCAAATCATATTACTCGAATTCATTAAAAAAAACACTGTTAAACTTTTTAGGCCTAACGAAGAAGGAAAAAGGAATAAAGAGAATCGAGTCAGGAACTGTTTCGTCTTCAAAGGAATGCCTTTCACTAATAAAGAATACAATGTGTACTCAACTGATCTAATGCATGCTCAGAAAAGAAAACAAGTCCACGGCATGAGATAAACTGCTGAGTAGGAAGTGAAGCCAGCATGCAGCAAACAAAAGAATATAGGCGGTAGAAATCAATACGAATATGGAGCGGAATTGCTAAAGAGCAATATGCCGTTGTCAGACAGAAGAGAGAATGTTAGTACGTAGAAGTCACAAATGGAAGCGACCTTTCCATGCCTCTTCTCTTCACCTAACAAATTCAAGCTGAAAAAATAAGATTGAACAGGAGGAGAACGCCATCGTTGTCCGCAAAAAAAACAGGCATCTTCCTAGCAGTCTTCGCCAGAAGGGAATCAGAATTAAACAATAACAACCGACTGTACACGCGAATCAGAGACCGGTCCGACTCAGACTTCGGCATCTTGACAATCTTCTAAAAACTATTTTTCTAAAGATGGGCTTCAGATTCAGAATTACACAGAAAAACATTGTGAAGGAGGAAAAGATCACTGTATTTGTCTAGGGAAATTTAAAGGAATAGAACTTATTCCTATTCTACAACAACGCTTAACAACGCAACAAAAGTACTCTAAAACGGATATTATGAATTTTCTAAAGAAACCCATTTCCTACAGATACCAGGAAAAAAAGTTCGCCAATTAAATGGGAAATTGAAGCATGTCTCACCTGGTTGAGGGGGGTTACGCATTGGAGCAGCACGAGGAGCGGCGCGGGGGGCAGAGCGTCCTGCAACATTAACGTTAAGCTCATAAACGAAGATCAGGGCAATAACTATAGAGCATACAAATTAAAACTGCAATTTCAATCATACGTCGAATTTGCACCAGTAACACAAGTAACAATAATCGATGTATTTCGTCCTAAGCAAGTCTAAGAGTCACCACTATGTTTTTCCCCCGGACTCAATGGCAGGATGATCACTGAATTTTGGATATCGGAAGAAGAAACAAAAAGAAAACTGGAATTCAAATCCTCTAAATCAAGCGAAAAAACAACATACACATAGACCTGTCTCACCAAGTAGGGTTTGCGAAAGGAAGGATATACGAAAATCCTCAGGACGGGTGGATACCTAGAATACAACAGAAAAACATCCTGCAGAACTCTTTTAAAGTCTCAAGATTTACGAAAGGTGCACCGCGACGAGGGTCATCAAACAAGTACATCCCACCCACCAAATATGCGACAGATCAAGATTGACGAGACAAGATCGTCCACATTCAAATGAACAAAAACAATTGAACAGATGAAGGAAACGAGATCCTTCCAATTGGGAGGAGATCCCTAACAACACAAGCACTCGATGGCAACCGGAATAGAGAAGGAGAAGGATAACCCTCTACGGGAGGAAGAAAGGATCAAATCACGAGACGTACCAGAGCTGCGGCGAGGCATGATGGCAAGCGGGGGGTAGAAAGAGACGCTACCGGAGCACAATCTATCGAAGGCGGCTTCGGACGGAAACCATACCCCATTAGAATGGGGTAATTTATAGGGAAAACTAGAACCTTCTAGATTCCCAGAGCATAACAGGTAAATTACCAAATTGCTCATATCTCCGGACGTGGCAACGGATCCACCGCCCATCTCCCCGTTCAATAGTTTGACGTCGCCTTCTTCGGCAAGAAATCCCAAGAACCGTAGCTCGTCCGAGTCACCCGACTCAGACCAACTCGGCATCGCGGCGATCCGGACCAACAACTCGGTCACAGGCGTCTTGGGGCGAAGGGGATAGGAAACCTGTATCAGACCCGACGACAGCTCTGATCCATCTTCTCCGGCCACAGAGAGAGAGAAAGAGAGAGACGCAGACGATGAACGTGGAAGAGGAAGTTGAGAAGCTGAGACTGGAGATAACGCGGCTTGGTCAACTCCAACCCGACGGCTCCTGCAAGGTAATCGAATCCCCTTTTATTGTGAATCTTCAGCGTTTCCCCCCTTCCTCTCTTCAGAGATCGATTAATCGGTTCCTCGATCCCGTGGGAGGAGTAGATCTGTCTGTGATTCCTCTTTTGCCGACATTTCGAACCAATCGCTCACTTCAGATTTCTCTGATGAGATCCCCAAATGGCGATCTCATGAAGTCTGTGGGCTTGTTCTTTACATTCTTCCTTGGGTAGCGGAATCGGAAGCCAGCGTCCGCCTTTCCTCGGTGGGAATCTCTGTCCGTGATGTCGAAGCAGTCATTCCATGGTTCCCGTCCTGGTTTCACAGGGCGCCTTTGTTGACTTTTTAGCTCTTCTTTGTGTGTTCATCCTTTTTTCTTGCATTTATGAGCTCATGGGGTCGGGTTGAATTCTTCCCCAGGTGAAGTTCGGCGTGCTGTTCCACGATGATCGGTGCGCCAATCTGTTCGAGGCGCTGGTGGGGACCCTCCGAGCGGCCAAGAGGAGGAAGCTTCTCGTCTACGACGGCGAGCTGCTCTTGCAGGGCGTCCACGACCACGTCGAGATTACCCTCCGCCCCCCTCTTCCTCCACCTCCGCCCCCGGCGCCGGCCACCGCCTCCTCCTGAAGCAACCCCGCCAACCACCAAGACAGGAAAGAAAGATCTCACTCTCCAACTCGCCACCCCCACCCTCCGGATGAACCTCGTCGATCGACGACGATTATCTCCTCTAAGAATATGAATGATGTCGTGGATTCCGATTTGTTCAAATCTGCGCCGATGGAGAGTGCCGAATCCTCCTAGTCATTCTCAAAGAGCCTGCAAGACGAATCAATCACAGCGAGGGAATGGGCGACAATGATTGATTATCGAAAAATATCCTTTTTTTCCCTCAGCCAAAGGCTACCGGAGTTCGGGGGCGGTGATAACACGAAAGTCAACCCTAACTGGATAATCCAAAGTCAGCCGATACAGACCAAAAACGATTTAGAACAATTTTTGTCTACCCGGCTGATACGCGGCGATGAGGTTACGGAGGAATGATGATGCTTGATGCTTTTTGGGGGAAGAACCAAGAAGAATTCCAGCTTTCCGGCTTACCTCCCACTAGGTAATGGTCTCTTCTGCGTCAACTTCGGCGGCTTGTTCGTCGCTTTCCCCTTCCAGCGACCCCCGTCGTTTTCAAGCATCTTGGGCTCCCCGGGAGTAGCTGGATGGGCAGCTGCTTCCCTTCGCCTTCCTTTCGATCCATCTATCTGTCTATCTGGCTTCTCATTTACAGGGCGGCATGGTTTTCTGGTTCTGTCGATGGCGCTCTCGTTCATGCTGAGAGATCCGGATTTGGAGATATTTTAGTGGGGGAGTTCGAAGAGGCGGACCTGACGTTGTACGATCTTCCCAGCTGGTCTGGTGAGTCGTCGTCTGACCTTTCTTCATCAAACGGTTCCCCGAGGGTAGGGTTCTCACAGAACGAACCTTCTTCCCGAGTTTGAGAGAGAGAGGTGGTGATGCTTTCCGCGGGGGGCTCTTTCGGGGAGTTGGCTGTGCAGTGCCTCATCCTTATCTTGGCCATGGCAATGGGCCTCGCGCTGTACCGCCTACCGCTCGCCGGACTCGCCGGCATCCGCCGGCGGCGCCGCGCCGCGGCCGAAGCTCGCCAGTACTTCATCCATGGCGCCCAGCTCCTTGCTCGCGCCCGCTCCGCCCCGCCGGGGTCCTCCGCCGCCCTCTCCCACGCCCGCTCCGCCCTCGAGGAGGCCGACCGCGCCGTCGCCGCCGACCCCCGCGACGCCGCCGCCCACATCCTCCGATCCGCCGCGCTGGAGCTCCAGGGCCGCCGCGCGCCCGCCATTCGCGCGCTCGACGCGGCGCTGTCCCCGCCGGCGGCGCGCTCGCTTGCCTCGTCGGAGCGCGCCGACGCGCTGACCCAGCGGGCTGGTCTGCGGCTTGCCGTCGCAGAGGGGACGGGGAGGCGGAGGGAGAGGACCCTCGACGCGGCGGTGGAGGACCTCACGGAGGCGGTGAGGGAGAGCCCAAAGAACGTGAGGGCCCTGTCCCTTCTGGGGCAGTGCTACCAGGAGAAGGGCATGACGCAGGAAGCCAGACGTGCTTACGAGTCCGCACTCGCCGAGGACGACTCTCTCGTCAATATTCGGGAGGCGCTCCGCCGGCTGCCGATCGAGCCCTGGTGAGCTTCCCCCTCCCTCATTCTTCTTCCTTGCTTCTTCTTCTGGTCACCCGCCCGCAAGATGCTCGTTATAATGTCTGCGAGGATCCCAGCACCGGCTACTCCCCCGGTGGGGCTTCTCTCTGTAAGCAAGCCCCTGGTCCAATGAGAGCTTCCTTTTCCCTCCAAGGATCATGGATGCTGTAGACTGCCACGATCGGCGACTCAGAAAGGCGGGCCTGTTCTCGTTTAGTTTCGAGAATGTATGATTCTTCGTGTGATCCGTGGCGTTGACTTATACATATGAGAATGGAGTGTAGAACCCTACTCGTCCCAGCCAGCATCCATGGGGAACCGGGGTAAGGGGTAACGCGCCCACCCGGATAGGCGCCTCCAAGGTGTTCGTCGTAATGCCCGTGAGAACGACCGAGGTTAATAAGTTTCTTTTACAGTGATAAGAGCTTATTTTTCCCTCCCCCCCTACAAAAGGAGGCAGTAAAAGTGAACCGCGGCAAAAAGTCAGCCGCATTTCGTACGTACAGTGATACGTAAGTACGTATGTAGCAGGTAGACACAAAAATACTCCCGACCGTAATCTAAACTTATGGCCTTTTATTTTTATAAATAAATTTGTATTTATGTAATTAATTGGGTAGTACGGGGTGGTGTGGTGTGGGGTCTCTTGGCTTGGAATCGACGCCGGGGGGACGGGGCGGGGTGTCCAATCCGAGCCGTACGAACCGTACAAACGGTCCAATCAAGCGGCCGACCCCCGCTGTCGCTGCGCTGGACCTGCTGGGCGCACTGTTAGGACGGACGGCGGAGATCGCATCAGATTCGTCCTTCTCGTCATCCCACCCCCTCCCCCCCTGGTTTACCGGGGCAAAGGCTGCCCCCATCCACATGGACTGCTCGGATCCTACAGGCGTCGAATTACTCCCCTCCCTCTCTCTCTCTCTCGCTCTCTCTCGCTCTATCGCTCTATCGCTCTATCATGATGCATGCGCATGGCCATTCAGGCCTGGAAATTTATGCGTTCGAATGTTGACGTTGATGGATGATGATTGTTAGGAGGAGGTAACTAGACGGCACCCAGCAGAGTACTGCCACTGCGACTACCGCTAGAGACGGCTTCATTTCATGGGGTTGGCCGCCGGCGAGCTTGGCTTCGAAGATCGGCTTCTGGCGGTGGCGGCGGATTGCACGCGGCGGAGTTAAGCGGCCGGCGATGAATACGCCGATCGGCGGGGTAATTACTGATCCTCGGGCCGATGGTTCAGCTGGCGCCGGCCATGAATGAATGGCCCGCTGGTTCGTTCTAATCAGTGCCGACTGGCCGGCATTGGAGGAGCCATCGGCCTTGTCTCCCTCCGCCGGGGTCGGTCGACGATCGGAGAGGAAACCCGGAAACGAGACGACGAAGAGAGAAGTTCTGACAAGGAACCCAAGAATCCGGAGATTAGGAAATCAATCATCTGTGCAACTCTGTCTGTGCTCTTTGCGACTTCTCTCCTCATTGCGCCATCCGTGGAGAGCTCGTCGTCGTCGTCGTCGTCGCCGCCGCCGCCGCCGCCGCTGGAGGATTTCACGGCTGGGTGGCCTCGGCGGAGCGGCTCCCGTTCTGTGGCGGCGATTGTGAGGCGGCGCCGTCGGGTAAGGGGGCCGGCTTCGGCTGTGGAGAGGAGTCGATGGTGCCGTCGATGCAGGAGGAGCAGTTGGCATTCATCCAACCCTCCAAGTCGTAGTGGCCGCGGCCGAAGATGCTCCTGCCGGCGCACAGCCTCCCCACAATCCCCGCGATGACGCCCAGCACGGCGACCAGCGCTAACGCCGCGATGACGGGCCCGATGGATCCTCCTCCGCCGCCGCCGCCGCCGTGGGGTACGTAGGCCTGGTGCGTTGCCGCCACCGGTGGCGGAGGCGGCGGCGGCGGCGGCTGCTGCTGCTGGAGAGGCAGATACGACATTGTGACTACAAAGAAAGGAAGGGTAGCGAGAGGGAAGATACTCCGGCGAGAGAGAGGACGGAGGAGGTTTCGCTAGGGCTTCGCGGTGGCGACGAGGGAGAAAGAACCGGATTTTGGTTCTTATAAGGGGGACGGACTTGCGGCGAGCGAACTTCTTTCTGAGCGCTGGAAAAAAACTCGACACAGTGAGAGAGGAGGCGACGGAGGAAAAGCCCTAAAAGGAGGCAGAACTCATCACAGTGGATAGATGATAGATAGCTAACTAGAGAGGGAGGGAGAGATAGGGAGAGAGATAGAGAGGGAGATTCTCTGTACAGGAGGAAGGGAATGAGATTGGGTAGGCTTGAGGCGGGGTTTACGTCTGGACTTGATGAGAGAGAGAGAGACGGGGCCTCCCCTACGCCTTTGCCATGGAGGAGCAGGAATCATCGCCGATGATTTCCTCCTCGAATCTCGGGGTATCCCGCTCTCTATGTCCGTCGATTTTGTGGTCCTCAGTGATTCCTCGGAATCCACGGGTTATGCGGCCTGTCTCCTCTTGGGAAACATCCTGCCAACTGACCCTATGGGGGCCAGGCCCGGCGTACATTTCTCATCAGGCCCGGGACAGGTTGGGGGGGCCCGGAGAGGCCCGAAATCTTTACAAATTTCCAAATTTCTCGTCTCAGACAAGCGCATTCCGAGGGCCGGGCTGGGCCCGGACTTCGTAAACTTCCAGCTGAGAGCCCGTCATTACAGATCTTCCTTTGGGCTGGGCCCGTTAAAATCCTTGGCCCGGCCAACTTTTCTGTGGATGGACGGCAGACTGGTCATTGTCAATGGATATATATAAATGGGCCGAGCTAAGTGAGGAGCCCACTAACTCAAACAGTAAAATGACCCAAAATAAAACGACTCCCATATGGGCTTCTCTCTGATCCGAAATTCCATTGTGAGATAATTGAATAATGGGCCAGTAAATGTTCTCCAGGGGCCCATGGGTTCCCGCTGTCTAGGTGGACTCCCGAACTTCGCCTTCTTCTGGAAATCGACCCCGTTTGGGTAGAACGGGATGACAAGTGGCGTGGCCCAAAATGGTCATTGGGCTGGAACTGGGCAGATGGAACTCCCGGAGATTCCGGCCGAGAAAGTCCCTCCTCTTATCTGGTTTTCACTGAAAAATAGACCAGCAAGCTCTCTCTCTCTCTCACCGTCACTCCTCCAAGGCCAAATATCCCCCCTTTGTGACAGACTTCGGGTACCTATCTCACATAAATCATTCCTCTCCGCACCTCGCATGGGAGAAGAGTCCCCTCCAACCTATAGCGAGAGCAAGCGAGAGAGAGAGAGAGAGAGAGAGAGAGAGGAGGCGGGGGGAATAGTTGCACCCCTCTCATGGTAACGACAAGGTACTTGGAAGTTTCCATGAACGTAAATCGACGACTTGAGAAGATCCGGTCAAACGGATCCGGTGGTGGCGGATTCGCTGCCCGAGATACCGACGTGTTGACGGGTCGGAAACGAAAAATCACGCTTTCTCGGCGTCACTGACGAGGCGCGAGAACCCACGTACAATCCCGCGATTTCCGATACCCATACGGAACTCGTATGACGTCATCTATTGAATGGAGTGTCGTGGCGCCTCGAATTCGCCCACGTACCCCGCCTGCGCGTTCATATGAACGACTGGTAGGTTTGGAAGCCCTCCGACCTTTCTCCTTCCCTTCGATAAGGTTTCCCCGTTTCCGGCGGTCTCTGGGCTGCCGCAGGGCGGCGCCGCCGTCCTCCCGGCGAGCTCTCTGTCCTCCGCCGAGAGATAAGTACCAACAGTCACTCCCCTTTCTTGTCGGCGATCTCCCGTCCCGAGCGGATAATATCTTCTGCGGGGATCCCCTGCAATTTTCTCGGGAACTAGCGCCTCGTCCGCTGCTGCCGCCGCCGACAAGGGGATTCACTACTTTCTCTAGAGTTGTGTTCTTCGCCGGAGGCAGATATTGCTTCTCACATCGCCGGCGAAGGGTGGGCAGAAAGAAGCTGGGGAAAAAGGGGACAAAATTTTAGCTAGTTGAAGAGCGCCGGAGATGACTCTGAGATCGCCGGTTCGGTTCTTCTAGGGCTTTCTTTCTCCCCCGAAGTAGCGAAAGGTTTCTTCAAGATGGTAGTGGTGGCCCTTGGCCGCATCTCGAGGTGGCTGCCGTGGGGAGCTCCAGAGGACTGCCGCCGCCGCCGCCGCCGCGAGCCCGCCTCTGCGACTGCGCCGTCGCCGGAGTTTAGGACCGGGGAGGAGCAGTGGTGGCGGGTCGACCCGGATTTGGACCTCGTAGTGGTGGCAACCGGCGCCGGAGGAGACAACGGCTCGGACTGGTCCGTCGGGTGGCTGGAGCCCCACGCGCCGGAGTTCCTCATCGGTGCGGACGGGGAGAGCTGCTTCTCTGTTCTGGTGCGGTGCTACGGCGGCGATAGATCCGGCGATGGGAGACGGCCCCTTGCCGCGGGGGAACCCGACGGCGGCGGCGTTGGTTCCTCTACTGGTGGGTGATCTGCTCTCCGATTCTTCGTCCTCTTCTTCCTCTGGCTTTATGATATAAACTCCGAGAGCATCGTCTTTCCCCCTTATTTAGCTTCTTTTCTCTCTGTCCGTGCAGAAGGAAAGGATACCTTCGAACGGTGGCTCTCCTCCCTGCAAAGCAGTTGACTTTGTGGATGTCAACCTGTCGAACGCTTCATTCCTCTTTCTCTATAGAGAGTGAAAGAGAGAGAGAGAGAGAGAGAGAAAGAATGCTTATGTTGAGAGTTGCCATAATCCGCAATGTTATAATATCTGCTATATTTGGGAGAGTCGTAGGAAAGCTTTGAGCTCACGTAACCCGCCGCATCGACAATGTGCGCCATCGCCGAACAATGGACGCCGGTCGGACAAGCGCGAAGAAAAGCAGCCGCTTTCCTCCGCTTTCTCTCTCTACCTTCCGCCGCCCCACGCTTAAAGGAGAAGAGAGGGTGAGGAAAGCACGCTCAGGGCCCCTTCTCCCCTCTCCTCTCGTGGGGGCGCGGCGGCCGGGGCGGTGGCCTCCGGCTCCCACGTGGGTCAACGCCAGCCCGTCGGTGGCCCTCTCCTCTTCCTTCCGCAATCGCCGCTCCTCCCTCCATAGGCTCTCCCACATTTCCAGGCCGACGCGATCCTCCGCCCATCTCCACACCACCAATTCTCTCCTGCACCTCGCTTCCTCTCCTCGGTAGATCTCAGATTAGGGTTCTCTCCTGCTACGCTCGAGGGGGAAGGAAGACGAAGGGGAGAGATGCTGCACAGGGCTGCGAGCAACGCGTATTCATGGTGGTGGGCGAGCCACATCCGAACCAAGCAGTCGAAATGGCTAGACAACAACCTCCAAGGCGAGATTCTGCCCCCTCTTTCATCATCATCATCATCATAATCATCTTGGCGAATTATCTCCTGGTCGACCTAATCGCCTGCTTATCTCGCCCTCCACGCTTCAATGGATGAACTGCGATGGAATTTGTCCCCCATCGTCTGTCCATCACATGGTGTCAGCGGATCAATGGGTGCCGAGCGGGGGCTACCCTGGAACAGACGACTTATGCATCGTACCACGCATAAATCTCGAATTATCCTGAAGATCATATCTCGGAAGCCGCATGTTTATCGCGCACTCATGGAGATTCTTTATTTTTTAAACTTCCTCTTCTTCTTCTTGGCTGATGGCGCTGAATGATCTGATTGCCCGCCATCTCTTTCCCTCTTTCTTCACCATGTTTTTTGCAACTTTGTTGCATGATCGAAAATGGTCGACATTGATAATTTGGAGATGTTCTTCGCTTGAATGCATACGCCCGGCAGACGTCGAGGTGAAGGTGGAGAGCATGCTGAAGCTCATCGAAGAGGACGGCGACTCCTTCGCGCAGAAGGCGGAGATGTACTACCGGAAGCGGCCGGAGCTCGTGAAGTTCGTCGAGGAGTTTTACAGGGCCTATCGGGCCCTGGCGGAGCGGTACGACCATATCTCCGGCGAGCTCCACAAGGCCAACAAAACCCTAGCCACCGTCTTCCCTGACCAGCTCCAGCTGGCCATCGCCGATGGGGAGGAGATCTGCTCCGACAAAGCCCTTTCTGCCACCGTCTTCCCCGGCCGGGTTAAGCTGGGCCTGGAGGACGAGGAGGAGATCTCCTCCACCGCCGCGGCGCCCCCCAGCGAACCCACCGAAACCCCGGGGCCTTCTCTTCCCAAGGACCTGGAGAAGGTCACTGCCATGGCGACGAAGCTGCGGCTGCCTGAGAGGGTTGACCTGGAGATGGGCAGAGAGAAGGCGCAGGAGGAGATCGACAAGCTCCAGAAGGGGATCCTGATCCTCCAGACCGAGAAGGAGTTCATAAAGAGCTGCTACGAGAGCAATCTGGCCAAGTACTGGGACATCGAGAGGAGGATGACGGACATGCAGCGCCAGGTCTGCAACCTGCAGGACGATTATAACGTCAGCGTGAGCATTGAGGACGATGAAGCTCGCGCTCTAATGACAGCGACTGCCCTCAAGTCCTGTGAGGCTGCCCTGGTCAACTTGCAGGAGCAGCAGAAACAGTCCATGGAGGAGGCGAGGTTGGAGTCCGACAGAATCAGAGCTGTGAGGGCTAAGCTGATGTCCCTCAAGGCGGCGGCGACGGCGACGGCAACGGCGACGGCGACGGCGAAGGCCCAGGGGGAGGAGAGCTCCGAAGAGGCTATGGAGCCGAGCTCTGAGATGACTGTGGAACCTGCTGCTCTGGCGCAGGAGAGGCTGGAGCTGCAGTTTGTGTGCGAGAAGATCAAGGAACACTTTGAGAAGGCTTCCGTGGAGGAGCTCGCCGAGAAGATCGACGAGCTCGTGGATAAGATCATCAGCTTGGAGGTGACAGTTTCCTCGCAGACCGCGCAGATTCTGAGGCTAAGATCGGAGACCGATGAGCTCCAGAGGAGCTTGCAGAGCTTCGAGGAGGAGAAGGCTCTTGCTGCCGCTGCCGCTACCGTTACTGCTGCTGAGAATGCTGCTGCTGATGATGATGGCGACCACGGCTCTGAAAGCCTGAGCGAGAAGCTCAAAGATGCAGAGGAGGAGCTGGGTCGGCTTCAATCTCTTGACAAATCCGTTCGAGATGAGACCCAGAAGCTTCAAGTCGACTTCTCCAGCGCCTGCCGTAGCTTCCGTGATCTTTCTGAAAAATTACAGTCTGCGGATGGCAGTTGTTCATCGCAGGAGGACCGCGATGGAGAAGAAGAAGAAGAAGGTATTAAGGCTCCCACTGACGAATCAAACCATGGGTTGGCGACGGAGGCTTCTTGTTCGATGCTCGAACCTGGTCTCTGCGCGGAGGACCGGGGAATGGAGGTCATTCACTCCGACCCTGGTGAAGAGCTCCCGGATCAGAAACAGGAGGACGAGATCGGAAAGATTGGGAAACCTGCAGCACCGAACCGGGAGGATGGAACTGCAGATCCAGAAGGAATCGCCGACGATTCCTCGTGGAGGATCGTAGAATTGGAGCAGGAAGATCAGAATGGCGAAAACAATCACGCTCCTAGAGCGGAATTTGATGGCATGGCGAAGAAGGATCTTGTTCTCATTTCTGACGCAGAAGATGACCGGGAGTGCGAAGCGGGCGAGACCGGTCCGACTGGGATGCGGCAGGAGGACGAAGAAGATCGCGCTCTGGACTGGCAGCAGCTGCTCCTGATCGGACTGGAGGACAGGGAGAAGCTCTTGTTGGCCGAGTACACGTCCATACTGAGGAACTACAAGGAGACGAAGCGGAAGCTATCGGAGGCCGAGAGGAGGCACAACCAGCATCTGCTGGAAATGATGGCGAAGGTCAGGGATTTGAAGAACGCCTGCGCGATGAAGGACGAGGAGATCCTGTCCCTCCGGCAAAAGCTGCAACTCTTGGAGGCTAATCAAGAAAACCCAGGTGGGTACTCGGTGGAGCGGCGAGACCCGCAGTCCCAGGCGGCCGGAGAGAAGGAAGAGGCCTCGCCCTCATCCTTCTCCACCTTCTTCGCCGAGTTGAAGGACGAAGGCGGCGACCCAGAGGGCCTCCTCGCCAAGGAGATCAATCTGCAGGTCCCCGACAAACCAGAGACGGAGAACGCCGTCGAGGGGAGGTTCAGAAGGGACATCGACGGGCTGCTGGAGGAGAACCTCGAGTTCTGGCTGAGATTCAGCGCGTCGTTTCAACAGATACAGAAGCTCCAAACCGCTTGGCGGGGCCTGCAGGCGGAAATCGCCAACCTGAGTGACGGCAGGAAGACGGAGGGCGGTGGCGCCGCCGGGGGGGGGGCGTCCGGCAGCTCCTCCGACGCCGTCGCTGCGCTCTTCACCAACCTGGCGGACCTCCAGACCGAGCTGCTGGCCTGGGTGGACCAGAACGCCCAGCTCAAGGCCGAGCTGCAGTGTCGGTTCTCGTCCCTCTGCAACATCAAGGACGAGATGTCGAGGGTTCTCTCCGACTCCGCCGGCACCGAGGAGGCACCATTGACGCCCTACCAGGCGGCGAAGTTCCACGGGGAGCTGCTGAACATGCAGCAGGAGAACAACAAGGTAGCCGACGAGCTCCAGGCGGGGCTGGACCATGTGAAGGCGCTGCAGGCGGAGGTGGACCGGTCCATGGCGGGGCTCCGTCGGAATCTGGGCATCTCCCCGCCGGCGAAGGCTCAGCCCCACTACCATTTCCGGCATTTCTCCGGCAGGACCCGGGTCCCCCTCCGGTCCTTCCTCTTCGGGGCCAAGCCCAAGCCCAAGAAGCCCTCCATCTTCTCCTGCATGAACCCGGCGTTGCAGAAGCAGTACAGCGACCTGACGGCCGGCCTTCCTCCCTGAGCGAGAGAGAGAGAGAGAGAGAGAGAGAGAGCCCCTCCTCTCATCCCTGCTTGATAAATGAAGATCCTTCTCTTTTATTCACATCCCTTCCCTCAACTAAGTGCGAAAAGACTATACTATTTGTATGATGCATTGAAAATATGCGCTGAAATGTGATCTCAGGGCCTCCAAGAAGAGCGCCAACCCACCGCCCCCCCGGTCTCAACTCCGACCAACGCTCTTCTTCCTTCCTCTGCGAAACCCCTCCCTTTCCCGGAAGAGAAGGCGGGGTAGGTACATACGGGAGGGCTTTACAGAAAAGAGGGAGAAAAATGAGAAGGGAAACAACCCATCTCAGTTGCTGCTCTATGAAAAAAAGTTGGAGAAGACGACTGACTCCCCAGGCAGAGCGGTTTGACCCTTACTGCAAACCTCCCTGATCAAAACAGCCCGTCCGAGCCGAGAGAGATCCTCGGCTACCCGATTGCCGACCCGGCGTGCTGCTGCTCGGCCACATGGTGGTGTTGCATCAGGCTGCTGTGCGCCGCCACCGCTGCCGCCGCCGCCTCCAGTTCGGCCATGGCCCGGGCGTTCATCTCTCCGTCCATCACCAACTCCTGCATCTCGCCCCCCTCGCTGGCCCCGACGTGCACTTCTCGGCCGCCCTGCACGCCGACGACCGGCGGCGGCAGCAGCGAGTCCCCTGCCCGGATGTAGTGCGAATTGGGGTGCTGCGGCGTCCCCGGCGATCTCCCCGCAAAAGGCTCCCCGCCACGGGGAGGTGCAGACGGCGGTGGCGGCGCAGGTGGCTTGGACAAGGACGAAGCGCCGGCTCTGATGTGCACGGCGGCCCTGGACTGCACGGCTCTGATCAGTGACGCCGCAACCTCGGGGGAGGCTATCCGGGCACCGGCGGCTATCGCCGCCGCATGGACCAGGGGGTTCGGCCCCGGTGTCCTTGGCACCTCTTGGAATTCCCCGTATCTCCTGCTGGCATCGGCCTCACCGGAGACCGGCGAGACCTTCACTGGGAGAGCTGCAGAAGAGATCAAGCTCATGAAGAAGCAGGCAAGGCATGAGACTTCATCCGGCAGTACTCATGGAGGAAGGAATTCTACCGGAGGAGGACGTGGACCCTAGCGTTGGAACGCTGAAGGCCTCAGCGACCGCCTGGAGAGCCGCCACTTGCGCTTCCGAGAGCCCCGCGTTCGACACAGGAATGGGATCCCAATCCTGAAAAATAACGACGAACAGAGAAACATTAAGTTCCCCAGATTCCCGACAAGTTCCCGTCGTAAGAAAAATCAGGTAAATTCAAAGACTCGAATGATTCTGAGCAACAATGAGAGGCTGATTAATCTGAAAATGCTTGAGAGGGCAAATCCGAGCACAATAAGCCTAGACACATCCTCCACTTTTGTATTCAATTTGTTTACTGAGCTTAGGGGTCTAGGGGAAGCCATCAAGATTATCGCCGTTGTCGCAAGCAGTGTTAGTGATAATTCATCGAATCATTTAAATATCTGATATTGACTGCTTGATGAAGGAAGGTGGGGAGAGGGAGGCGTATGAGCGATTTCCAAGATCAGGCATGATCTCTGGGCATCTTCCTGGGCAAACTTGAAATATATATAAATGCAAGATTGCGAGAAACCATCTGTGGATTTTAATTAATGTGTTCCGAGAAGGATTTAGGGATGTCTGGGAGCAAGATGATCAGACGAACGCTTCATCATCGACCATTTCCAATCGAGTTGGGGAGGCAAGGCAAGGCATTTTAATTGGTATGAGCTATGCGAAAGCAAATAAAAATGGCAAGTAATGACAGAAAGTAAGGCCAATATGCTCCTGAATGCTGATATGAAGAAAGAGACTGTATCGACGAGAAGTTGAAGTTCTGAGCCATTCCAGCATTCCATTCAAGAAGCGAGCGTGATCATCGCAGGAATAATATAGCAGCAGATTCGCGACCGTGAATGGAATTTCAGTGACCATTTATAGCATTAAACGATCATGCAAAAAAAAAAGGTTAAAGAAAAACCTGTTCTTGCACGGCATTTGGGCCGAACTGCTCCCCGTCGTCCCCAGTCTGAAGCCTCCTCTTTTTCCGTGGGGCAGCACTCGTACTCAAGCTGGCTGACCCATTCTCATCCGACCTCTGCTTCTGCACAAAAACTGGACGTCTAATGTTTAGCCGCTGCTTTTCTGGCGCCTGAAGGAAGGAGGACTGCGTCGCAGGAACCGTTCTCGAAAGCTGAGAAAATCAAAGCGAGATCGCTCAGAGAAGGCGGCCGCCTACCTTCGTTCGGACCCTGCTGATTGCCCGGGTCGTTCGGCCAGCTGTGCTGTCCGTCATTGCCAGTCTGAGGAGCTCTCAAGACGCCGCTCTTGGCAGCGATCACCTTCTGGGAAGCTTCCCGGAGAGCAAACATGGCGACGTTGAAGACTTCCACAGACGACGAACCCTCCTCGGCAAACTTGATTCCCTCTTGGTGAAGCTTGCTGAATCGCCACGACACGGGGCTCTGACTTCCTTGGAGGTCGGCCTCCGGCTTGGACAGCGCGGGCAACGCGGGGCTCTCCAAGGTCAAACGGGCGCCGCGATTGATGCGCCTCGCGGGCTTAGGCGGCTCGTAGGTCAACTCCGTCCCTTGGACAAACGGCGGGTGATTGTGCTCCTTGTCAAAATTGGTGACCACCCACACCCCAGAGTCCAGCTTCTTCACTATGAGTCTGGCCAGGCACCCGACCCTGGTCAACGCCCGGGAGCGCTTGGTTCTCCCATATTTCCTCACGTAGTAGCCCTCCTTGGAGCAGACGAACCGCCTGCAGACGATCGACCCGTCGCGGGCTCGCCTGCACTTGCTGATCCTCACAGTGAATCCCATGTCCTTGGCGTAGGTATAGTAGAAGGCCCGCGCGGCCTCTTCCGACGAGAACTCCATGCCCTCGTAGGGTTCTAGCTCGGGGTTCCCACAGGGCGAGGCGAAGACCGCGCTCTTCTCGGGAGGGCTCTCCGCCTGCTGCAGAGAGCCCTCCACCTTCTTCATCTCCGAGGCCTGCAAGGGCCTGAGATCAACCTTCCGCAGGGCTACGTTCTCCAGAGGATCGTGGTTGTGCTCCCTCTCGAACTTGGACACGACCCACCGCCCCGAGGGCTGCCTCCTCACCACGAGCCTCGCCATGCAGCCCACACCGGCGATCACCTCGGCCTGCTCCCTGCCGCCGCCTTGGGGCCGCTCCATGTAGAAGCCCTCCCTGGAGCAGACGAACTGGCGGCACACGACGGCGCCGTCGCCGACGGAGCGGCGGGACTTGCTGGAGCGGACACGGAATCCGGCATGGCGGGCATAGGAGGCGTAGAAGGCCCTTGCGCATTCCTCGCTGTCAAACTCCATACCCTCCACGGGCTCCATGTAGGAGCTCACCTCATTCGAGATCAGCTCCCTCCTGTCGTAGCTCTCGATCATGTCTCCGTCCTTCCTGGCGGCGATCAGGGGCTCGTCCATCGCCTCGTCATCCTCTTCTTCTTCGGATCCCTCCTCCAGACCATCGTCCCCAAAGTCCGACTCGTGCAGGTCGTACTCGAGCCCCATGTCGGAGTCCAGGAGCTCGGCGTCCATCGAAGATGACATCCCTGCCAATGGAAACGCCCAATTCCCACATTCCTCAGATCAGGTCGTGACGAACCGCATCAAATAGAATCAAACACGCCGGAGAAAAATTCCCCCACACAGGGCGCGGGAGGGCATTCCAAAACCCCAAAAATATCAGAACCCAGAGGCAGGAACAGAGAGAGAGAGAGAGAGAGAGAGAGAGAGAGAAATAGTCCCACTCAGAAGGAACCTTCGCCGGCGCAGGCACTCACCGGGAGGAACCCTTCCTGAAGAGTGAGGGTATTGGGGCCACCGCCCGACGGAGTCAGACGCAGAGCGCAGGCCAAACCCTAGCTCCACCACGGCGAACCCAAGAGGAAGTCCCTATCGGCAAGAGGACGGACGGGACCATCAGCGGCAGGATAAACGGGACCCGAATCCCACCCCCCCTCTCCCTGCTCAGGAGTCCGCCCCTCGTACAGCCAGGGCGAGGACGAAGAAGAGGAATCAAATTAGGGTTTCCAGTCGGCACCCCCTACGGGAGAGATGGGTAGATAAGGGAGGAGATGATGCACCAGAGACCCCATTTGATGCCGTTGTTTTAAAATTTCGCCTTTTTTTCCCTATTTTTTCTATTCTGACCCAGAAAACCTAATAGTTTCATAAATAGCCCCCTTGTGTTATTAGCCCGTTAAGCGGCTCAACGGGCTGCTCTCCTAGCCCACGGGCCCAAAACCGCTTAACCTAAGTCTCTTCTGCAGAGCAGACTCAACGTGGACCCATGTGTGGGGCTAAGAACGCTCAACAGTGCCACGTGGAAACAGAGATCCGTTATCCGTTGACTCTGTCCATTGCGGGCTTCACCGGGCCGGGCCCGACAGGGAGATCCCAGGACGAAGGGTAGGCCCGGCCCATTTTCATTCTCGCAATCCTTCGGCAGGAGATGAACACGTTACGTTCTAAGGGGGGGGGGGGGGGGGGGGGGGATTATGGTCAACGGTGACAAGAGAATGGGGGTTGTGTTTCATTCATGGGATTTTCGATATTTAACAGTACACCCACATGACCGGTCAACGGAATTCCTCGCTCCAACAGCTCGGGGAAAGCAATGTATGGCCCCTCCGGTGAAGATCCTGGTGGAAAGTTCCTCCGGGGAAGAAAGTCAACTCCAGTGGATAAGTGGGCAGAGAGTCTCCGTCATGAGTAGATAGACAGATGTGTGGGAGACACCAGCATTTGGTCTATTAGTCCACCGACCATATATATTTATCTTATTGACAAGCTCGATACCACAGTCAATGTCTGTATCAGCTCCATAAACGGTCAGCATCACGAGAGTCAAAGCGAAACTAGTTGACCTGAAAATAGTAGAGCGGATGCTCGATGGATTAAAATGGTCAAATAGTGGACTGTGGACGAGTATCGAGCTTTGGGATGGTCAACTCACCGATCAAGATATCTTTAAACCAACCAAAGGGGGAATGCCCCACAGAGAAGAAGAAAAAAATCACCAGACGTCTCTCAGATACCGCCCCTCCGTTTGCAGCTTCTTTACCATGGATTCTGCTGTGGACGAATCCACAGACTCCTGAAATACCCGCCACGTGCAGACACAAGATCAACCACAGGTCAACTATCCAAAAAAGGCTGGATATGTTTACTAAAAAAAGGGAAATTCGGGAAGCCTAGGATATCATTGACTTTTCATACCTGTTCTTGGATCATCGCGTGCAGAGCTCGGTGCACGTCTCGAGCCATGCCCTTGGCATCTCCGCAGACGTAGAGGTACCCGCCGGCGGAGATCAAGCCCCAGACGTACGCCGCCTGGGAGGGATGCATACACTCAGAAGAGCTCCCCAGAAACGAGTGCAGTGTAATGGAGTGGAGCGGTTCGATCCGGCGGCGGCGCCACTCACCTTCTCCGTCATCTTATGCTGCACGTACTCCTTCTTGGGGCCCTCGCGGGAGAAGGCGACCACCAGCTCGGACAGAGCTCCTCGTTCCACAAAGCTCCTCAGCTCATCCTCGTAGATGAAATCCTAGGAAAGCAAAAGAAGGATTTTCACAGGGAAATACAGCTATTTATCAGTGTATATAATTAATATTTATGATGCTTCCCGATTATACGCCAAACCCATGATTTGAACGATCAATAAAATGCGATCTGAGATGCCGCAGTGGCATTATCAATTCAATATGATGTTGGAATATCACTTACCATGGCACGATTCCTGCATCCAAAGAAGAGAATTGCGGGTCCCAGTTGAGCACCAGATTCTTTCAGGGCCAATCGCTCCTGAAATGGAGCAACCAAAAATAAATAAATAAATAAAATTGTTCAGGGATGATCTTCGTGGCCGAGATTTTACGGGGATAGGAAGAGGACGAGCCATCAGACCTGGAGGAAACCCCTGAAAGGGGCCAGCCCCGTGCCGGGGCCTACCATGACCACTGGTACTGAAGAATCTGTAGGCAGCTTAAAGTTCGACTGCCTGACAAAAACAGGTGCCCAGCTGCAGTTGGGGTTCTTCTCGAGAGGAACTGCACGCTATGAACAATGCGTGGAACCACCATTGAGAATACTTTCAAAAGACCAAGAAAATCGATAAATCAGGCTTTTCTTTTCTTTTCTTTTCTCTTTTTTTTTTTTTTTTTTTTTTTTGCGTTCTTCTGACCGCCCACTGCAGAAGCTTCTGCAGGAAGAACATGAAAGTAAAATAGTCAAAGTGGATGTGTTAAGGCCGATCAGAGGTGGCCCTACCTTCATCCAGGTTGAGCACACGCCACGATGGATTCGACCCGTTGGACTCGGTCCATAAACCAGCGCACAGGTGACGTGGATTCTTGAAGGGGAAAATCTACGAGACCACACCATCAGCCAAAGCATAGTTTTTATTATTAAAAAATCTGTACCTGGGTGAGGACGAAATTGAGTAGTAGCGTGGCTGTAAGTGAGGCACGATGGCTGCGAAGAACACCCCGAGAGGGGGTTTGGCTGAGGGAAACTCGGCCATTACTTCTAGAAGACTTCTCTGGCTGCTGACAATCCACTGTGAATACTCGTCCTGAAGAATGAGCGCGGGTCAAACATAAGTTTCCATACACCAATGAACGAAAGATTTTCAATCCACGAAAGCCAAAACTCAGTTAGTAATCTCCAAACCTTTCCAGCAGGAGAAGACAAAGTCCTCAGCCGATCTGCTTCGTTAGGTTCAGATGCATGAGCAGCCAAGGCAACTAGAGCAGACTGTGAAATGTCAAATTAATACCTTAAAGAATTAAATGCGCAATGAAGAAAGGATGCCAGAAATAGTAGACATAAAATTCGAGAGTAATTATTACCTTCTTAGGAGGACTCAAGAGGTCTGCATGGCGAGCAAGTGCCATCCGTAATGTGCACTGTCCATGAAAAGGGGGTGCTAGAGAACCCCCTAGGGGCGTGCCATCTTCTTTGTCAGAATGCAGAGAAAATATCAACTCCAGGGGTTGACCCAGCAGCTTCGCTGCCTCCTCGATGGTTTCTTCACAATTTTCAGCAAATACACCAACATGATCCCCAGTTTCATACCTAAAAGAAAGACGCAGTAAGTACATCATAAAGTTCGTATAAGAAAGACGCGCATTTTAATATGAAAACTCTTATATTATTCATTCGAAACCCATAAGGTAGTGTGATCTTTTGATACTGCTAATCGAAGATAGGAAAAGTAAATAGAAACTGGAATGAAGAAGAGAGCCAGAATGTTTAGATTAATAAGTCAGCCTAGGTCAACTGCTCGTAGAATTATCTCATTAAATGCAGGGAATTGTTTCATCCCCGGTGCATGCACTTACCTGTGCACTGAAAACAACCCATTTGGTGAAGGAGAATCGCAAGTTTTCAAGATAGTTTATACTACACAATTAGGTATTGAACAAAAGGCATATGATATTCTCTCTGTAGGATGGTATAAGTCTCAAATAACAGTGAATAAATATTGAACGAAAGCAAAAATATTAAAAACTCCACTCATTCCAAGTAAAATAATAAGAATAAATGATATTCTGTAGGAGAAAATCCCCACAAGATAGGATGAATTGTTCATAAACTGCATCAAAGAAGGTTGTATGGAAATCACACGTGTTTTCAAGAGGTTTGAGAAGAGACAGTGGAAGAAAAACAGAACAGAGGGGAAGAAAATAAAGAGAACATCCGACTAGCAAGGCAGAATGAGGTGTCAAGGCAATTGGAATCATGGTAGAGAGGAGGGGGTATTGGAGGGTTTAAAGGTACCATTATCGAATAAAACTCACTGCCAAAAAAATTCTATATTTTTAGCCTTTCCATAAATTGTTTGATTACTTATATTGTTGGTCTATAATATGGCACGATAATAGGAAAAAAATATTGACTTTATATTACCCTATTTTTAATCATGGCACAGACATTTGTTTATCGACAATTAAAAAATATTGATTACTCTATACTGGACTTCCCATCAATGACTCGTTTACATCGCTAGTGAAAATACAAATTCTCCTTTAATACGTCACTAGACCAAAGCCCAGGTAATGCCACACTCTAATTTCTCCATGAAGCAATAAAATGGAGTTTCACTCTTGTTTTGTACCCTGAAAGAATGCAGAGTACTCAGTCTCAGAGACAACCAGATTCTCTTGAGACAGTTCAGAATCTCCTTTTGCTACTCCCTTGCTCGATAGAACAGTTGTTAAGAAACCTAAACAGAGGTTTAGGTTCTTTATTCTGACTCTTGATCCGATCCAAGTATACACGAATCTGCTTTGGTACCACTGGGTACCACTGGGTACCACTGGGTACCACTGGGTACTACTTGGTACCACAGCGATGGACAACTCTATCAATGACAAACTGCAAGTGCAGTAGTCCAGCATCGCATCTCCCTTTCATAACCGCATCACGGCATCAAGTAGTCCAGCCAAATACTACCTTGTGATATGCACAATCAACATGGATAGAATGCATGAAACTGAATTATCATGCCAAAACTCCCTCAGGCACTAAGAAACAATAAGAATGGTTAAATGTCCATTCCAAAGAATCTCTTGATCCAACTTAATGTTTGTTCAATATTTTTTTCATTGTATCAAAAGGCTAGCAATCTCACAAAAAGCAGCCCCCAACACATGTCCTTTCCACCCATCCACATATAAACAGAGTAAATCTATAAAAAGAAAGCTCCATTTCCTGGTACGATATGGTTCATTTTTCACATTCAACATAACAGGAGGTCTTTAGATGTAAAATAACCTGACACCTTTTAGAATCAACGCATGTTGCCAGACTTCATTAAAGAAATATGATGCACCACAAGCTGTTAGAAAGCTTTCCCTATCATACCGCGAAAGTAAAAGATGATACATATATGGAAATACATGAAACGAAAAGGAGGTCACTGAGCAGAAAAACTTACACAATTCCCGTGCCTGAGATGTCAAATTCAAGGTGTATGCACGAACGGTCAGATTCTGATGTGTGAAGCTCCCTCTGAACAGCGACATTAGCTCTGCTTGTCAAAACAAGGACCTTAATATGAAAGAAGGATATACAGGAAGGAACAAGGGAGAAAAATTGCCGAGAAAATATGTCAGCCATAATGTTCCATGTCATAAACAAAATTCTCTGTTCTAGTACGAGGTGTGAAAGTTTCATGGCACATATGTAGTCAATATTCATGAATGCACGAGTTTGGAGAAACATAAATGAGACCAGCTCAATACACAAACAAATAAATCATATTAACTCAGATGGAGACGTTGTGCACCTGCATGGATGATGGATGTCATTTGTACCATGACCATTAGCCATAACAAGGTGCTTATCCTCCAAAACAACAGTGGAATCATAAACAACAACGCGGTATTCTGGAACAGCAGCAGTATAGGGCGTTGAAACTTTTTTAGAATCATCCTCGTCTCCAAGTATTTTGTCTAGTTCAGGCCAGAGTAACTCTCGCCTACAACAGAATGGTTCACATAAACGAGAAATCAAATATTGCGAGAAATATCAACTTCCATAATGGCTCGACTTCAAATACTCAATCACATACCAAGCTGCGAAATCATCTTCAATGCATTGGTCATCATCACCAAGGCCAACGGGTATGAGCCTCTTTGCACCTACAAGAAGCAGTTCAGCACCCTTAAAATGAGGACGTAAATAACAGAAAGGCACCAATCACTTTGATGCGAGGATGAATTTAAACAACATGGGCGGATAGAGTTTACGTCATTGGGTAAGAAAGACAAGATCACAGACACGTTTTATAAATTATATAAAGACAAAAAATACCTTGTTCAGCCAGCTGTTCATCCACTATTTTTCCAATCTGTACAATGAAAAGGATTAAATTAAAAAAAGTTCAATAAGATGTGAACCTTGATGCCACTGACCAACCTTATTGAAATGTTCATATTGACGATTGCCCAGACCAAACACGGCATAGGTTAATTGTTGAAGCCAGGCGTCCTTTTCATTTTGCTGCAGAAATGTGAGACAGTCGCACATAGTTGTAAGGGTGTGTGAAGGAAACGATGCATCATCACACAGGCAAAACGAGGCAAAATTTCTGGGCCACCTCAGTAAACCATTTAAAAAATCTTGCAGCATTATCTGTTGGCTCCCCATCTCCGTATCTGCATTATTACATTGAATCACATCAAGAAAAAAAAAATTAAAATATCCAATCAGAGACGACCTTGTGTAATGAGAGAGTTATGGCCCCTTACGTTGCTAACATGAAAAAACATAAAGTTTCCTTCTTAAATTTTTCTTCGTAGTGATCATCATCAGTTGCATAATCATCCTAAAATCGGAGCACAAGCACGTAATTGAGATACGGCGGAAATATTTGATGAAATATATTAATAGAATAACTTCGACTTCGCTCACCAGGTCTACTACTCTGAAAACTGCCTTGTCATACCTAGATCGAGCTTCCTCAGCCAAAGCCTGTAGTACCATTATCCCCAAACCCATAAGCAAAGGAGAAGGAGATTGATCCAAATGGCAAGTAATAATTCTTCAGGCGGCGAAAGTGTAAGACAGAACTGTTTAAACACATTACGATAGAGCATACACTTTATCATTCCCAGATATTCAAAATTCGAATTAACATAAATCAAAAAATAATTGACCATCTGTGGAGGGCAAAATACTGATATTTTACATCCGCTTACTGTACCAAATATTTTCCTTGGTTGTAATCATCAGTAATGATGATTTGTAGCAAATCAGTGATTCCTTGAAAATAAAAGGCACAAGTGAAACTTTTCTTTTGCTTGTGCACTCTTTCAGTAACTCAGGCAGCAAACTGTCATTTGAAACTTCCCTCCGAATAAATTGTTTTTACTGACGTGGGATCCCTTCAAGTGACTAGAACCAAACAGGATCTATAATAAAGCAAGGTCGAGCAATTTCCAACTGTTTGCACATTGATGAACGCATTGAAGCCACCGAAGACAACGAGAAGATATTTAAAACAAATAAAAAAAATCCACCTTCCAGTGATTTGGAGCGAGCCAACTATGCACCGAAGACCTCGACTCCGATCAGATAACCAGAACCCACAAAAGCATAACAAGTCTAAAGCTTCCACAGATCAATATTCTACTAAAGCAACTCCCTCCGGAGTGTTCACCTTGGCAAAACCTTCGGCCGTCCCCGTCTGCGTGCCGAAGAACACGGTGGCCTTCTTCTTCCTGGGATCTTCGTCAATCTCGCTATCCAGCCTCACCAGCAGCGGCTTGGGCTGCACGGCCACCGGTTTCCGGCTCGACTCGTCCGCCGACGACAACTTTCTCCACAGGAGGAAGGCCACCCCAGCCAGCACCGCCAGGGAGGTGGTCAGCGCCACCACAATCCCCTCCGACGAAACGGCCGCCGCCGCCTCCGCCCCCAAGATCGCCTCGACCAGCCGCCGCGCCGACGCCGACAGCCACGAGGACGACATCCTGACGCCCGTGGAGGGGGGGGAGGGGGGGAATCGGAGAGCCCACCGACGCGTCGCTCCCTCTTCCGCGTCCCCCTCGCCTTCAAGGGGACGAGATCGATGGAGGAACAAAAGAACAGAGGAAACTGCTAATTAGTCAAAATCGAAAAAGGAGATTGATTGCGAGTCAACGCTGGGGGGCGGGGGGCGGCGCCGATACCGTTGGAAAGGAAAGATTATTTTATACCCACAAATTTATATTTGCTGCTATTCAACTCCAGTCCCTTTTTTTTTTTACCTCCCTCTCCTCCCTTGGTTTTGTTACCTGAGTTCTGTCAGGAACTCGCCGGAGAGACGACGGCAGTTAAGACGTCGCCGGCGAGGTCACCACCGAGTCACAGGAAAAAACAGCAGGAGGAACAAGGAAGAATTTCTCTTATTTTTTTTGAAAAACTCTTACAGTCCTCTTTAAATAAGAAAACAAAGGAGAAAGAAATAACCGTAAGAAATAACTAACTGGCTAGTAACGCGTATCATGCAGAAAATTCTGCATTACCGTGTTGTGCATTGACGTGTACATGTCAATGCAAGGCTCTCGTTCACAATCTCCTCTTGAGCCTTATTGTGCTCACCACGAACATCAACGAGGCCAATCTTGCCGCGAAACTCATAAAACTTGATTTTTTCAAGTGGCTTCGTCAGAACGTCTCTTAATTGTTCTTCACTCTTGATGAACTCCACGTTGATCTGGCCCTTTTCTGCAGATTCTCAGACAAAATGATACTTCACTTTAATGTGCTTGCTATGTCCATAGAGAACCGGGTTCTTGATCAATGCAATAGCAAACTTGTTATCCACCGTCATTATCGACATGCTTCGTGTTGAGCCATGCACCTCTGCTACCACCCGAATGAGCCACACATCTTGGCATGCAGCATTGACGGCTGCAATGTACTATGCCTCGCAGCTAGACTAAGCCACCACCTTCTATTTCATCGACTGCCAAGTAATTGGGCTGTTGGCCAAAAAAATAATGACTCTAGTCATGCTCTTCCGAGCATCAACATCACCAACGAAGTCACTATCGCTGAACCTTGTCAGTTGGACCTGCTCCTTTTTTTCATACATGAGACCTCAGTTCTTGGTTTCTGCCACATAACAAAGAATTTGCTTCACAGCGGCCAAGTGATCCTTTGTATTGACCAGGTACCTGAGACTCCCCACAATGCTTCTACATGCTGTTGCATCCACCAGCGGCTCCGTGCTCCTCTTGCTCAATTTAAGACGTGTTGCCATTGGTACTTGATAGGGATTGCACCCTACCATGCCGCTCCTCTCCAGAATCTTGGCAGCGTAGGCTCCTTGGCTGATCGAGGTGCCCCCCATGCTCTACCTGACTTCAATGCCAAGATAGTAGCGAAGCAGGCCGAGGTCGCTCATCCTGAATGCGTCAACCATCTCTTTTTTGAATTGCTTGATGTCGTCGCAGCTGGCGCCAGTGATCACTAGGTCGTCGACGTACACCTTGACCACCAGCTGCACCTCCCCGTTCTGCCTGATGTAGATGGCGTGCTCCGAGGGACTCCTCTTGAATCTGAACGACGACAACAGTGTGTCGTCCAGCTTCGTGTTCCAGGCCCTAGGCGCCTGATGCAAACCATAGAGTGCCTTCTTCAGCTTGAGCACCTTGTCCTCGTTGCCCGTGCTGATGAAACCAGCCGGCTGCTCCACGTACACTTCCTCCTTGAGATCGCCATTCAAGAACGCCGACTTGACATCCATGTGGTACACCTCCCACCCCTCATGCGCCGCGAGAGCGATGAGAAGGCGCACCGTGTCCAGCCGCGCCACAGGTGCGAACACCTCGTCGTGGTCGATCCCCTGGTATTGTGCATAGCCCTTCACCACCAGGCGCGCCTTATACTTTGCCATGACTCCGTTGCGCGCCTTGTACTTCGCCACGGCTCCGTTTTCATCCCGCTTCACCTTGTACACCCACTTCAACCCGATCGCTCGGCGACCATGTGGGAGGTCAACCAGGTACCAGGTGCGGTTCTCCTCGATCGACGCCATCTCCTTCTCCATAGCCTTCCTCTAGCTCGGGTGGCCCTCTACTTCAGCAAAAGAGACTGGCTCATCAGAACTTACAGCGTGCAGCTCCTCTGCAATTAACGCCCACGACGCGAGACCACGCGGCGAGGTCAGCCCAACGATGTCGTCGATCTTGCGGAACCGGAGTGGCGCATCATCGTGATTAACATCCAAGCGGTCAATGTGGACACTGGGTGGAGTGGCGAACTCCACCTCCTTTCCTCCATCTTCAATCGGCACCGCTCCCCCACTAAAGTGCACGGATGGTAGCGACATCAGCTCTGATCCCGGCATATCATCATCAAGTACCTCGATGGCGCCATCAAGCTCCGAAGGTACCTAGTTCCCGACGGCATACTCCAATGTGAACATGTCGTCGTGGCTGCCCGCATCCCCTTGCTCCGCGCCGCTGCCCCAGTCCCACTGGGCATTTTCATCGAACACCACGTCCCGTGTCACATGGACACGCCTCGTGGTGGGATCGTACGCACGGTAAGCCTTTGATCCGCACTCGTAGCCGATGAAGATCATCTTACGGCCGCGGTCCTCCAGCTTCTTGAGATGCGGTGTCGTGTTCAGGACGTAGGCGATGCATCCGAACACCTTCAGATGGTGCACCGCCGGCTTCTTCCCGTGCCATACTTCGAAAGGCGTCATGCCGTCCACGCTCTTCGTCGGACACCGGTTCAGGATGTATACAGCAGTTGCTACTGCCTCACCCCAAAACCAGCCCGGCAGCCCCTTTGCCTTGAGCATGCTCCTCGCGGTTGCTAGCACCGTGCCGTTCCTGCGCTCGACGATGTCATTCTGCTGCGGGCTGTATGCGCCGTGTGTTGACGATGAATACCTTCTCCCGCACAGTACTCCGCAAACTCATGTGAGGTGAATTCGCCGCCCCGATCAGTACGGAGCGCTCCCAGCTTCAGTCCTGACTCGTCTTCTGCCCGAGCCTTAATCTCCTTGATGGCCACCGCAGCACGGTCCTTTGAAGGCAGCATGGCCACCCACATGTACCGACTTCGATCATCCACGAGCAGCAGGAAATACTTGCTGCCGTTTGGCGTTTCCGGTGCAATCGGACCACAGAGGTCGCTGTGCACCATCTCCAGAACACGCCGCGCCCGGTACTCTCCCTGCTCGGGGAACGGCGACCGCTTCTGCTTGCCAGCGAGACACGCCTCACACAGCTGGTCCACCTGACCAACTGCCGGCAACCCGCGCACCAGCTCCTCCCGAGCCATCTTCCGCAGCGCGGTCATGTTGACATGTCCGAGGCGCGCGTGCCATTTCCAAGCTTCTTCGACTCCCCGCGCCTCCAGGCACACCTGCCGAACCAGCTTGGCGTGGAGAATGTACAGCCGGTTCTCTCCGCGCATCACCTTCGCCAGGAGCCGTCCGCCTGGCTCATGGATCTTCATCGCCCCCTTCTCGATGTCGATATGGTACCCGGCCTCATCGAGTTGGCCGACGCTGACGATGTTCGTCATCAGTCAGGGAATGTAATACACCCCCGCGAAGGACCGGTGCTCGCCGTTCTTGCACAGGAACATGATTGCCCCCCGGCCTTCGATCCGCGCCACCGAGTCGTCGCCGAACCGCACCGTCCCAAGTACCGCCGTGTCCAGCTCAGTGAAAGCCGTACAGGAACCCGACATGTGGTTCGTGGCGCCCATGTCCACGACCCACGCCTCCTCATCACGCAGCTCCTCCTCTTCAAGGTGGGCGAACACCTTTTCTTCCCGCAGATGGATCTGGGTCTGGGCGCCTGGTTTCTTCTCTTCTTTGGCGGCCCCTCCATTGACGGGGACCCCTTTTGCTCCCGGCGGCGGTGGGCTTGCACGCCGGAGCCGATCCTCTCCTTGCAGAGTCGCAGCAAAACGTGGTGGAGTGGAGGTTGGTGGCGACGCCGTCGATATGGCCGTCGTTGACTTCATGAGAAGGAGTGAGGCCTCCTCCTCATCCTGGACGACGTGGGCCTGCTCTTTCTTGGGCCTGGAGCGGCACTCGCGGGCCCAGTGGCCCAGCTTCCCGCATCTCCTGCACTCATTACCTCTGGGCCGGCCTGAGTTGCCCATCAGGCCGCCTGATGACGAGCCCTTTTCGCTGCCACGGCCGCGCCCACGCCCCCGGTCATGTCCGCCACGGTGCGTCACGCTGCTGCTACCTCCACCACCAGTTTTCTCAGCATCACGCTTCCTCCGCCGTGCATCCCACTCTTCCTCGGTCAGGTACAGCTTGCCGTCGTGGTGCATAGCCGACGGCGGTTCCTCGAAGGCATCCTCCGCCGCCTTGAGCCGACCCGTCAAATCCGCGACGGTAAGCGTCGACACGTCGAGCAGCATCGTGATCGCGACCATGATCTGCCTGAAACGCTGGGGAACATTGCGGATTATCTTCTCCACTACCTGCGTCTCTTCGACCTTGTCTCCGAGGGTGGTGAGAGTCGACGCCATGCTGTTGAGACGCAGCGCGTAGTCCTCAACAGACTCTCCTTCTTTGAACGTCGCCGAGTCGAACTGCCGCCGCAAGTTCTGAGCCGACGTCTTCTTTACGCGGTCATAGCCGATCCGCATGGTGGCGATAGCCTCCCAGGCCTCCTTGGCCGTCTCCTTGTTCGCGATCACCGGCCACATTTCCGGCGGCACTGCGCTGCAGAGCGCGTCGAGCGCCTGCATGTCTTCATGGGGTTCGACGCCCCCTTTCTCAATGGCAGTCCAGAGTAACCGGGCTCTGAGCTTGACCTTCATGAGCAGCGCCCAGTCGGAGTAGTTGGTCTTGGTGAGCATTGAGAACCCGGTCCCGGCGCTCACCTCACGAACCACCCTCGACCACGCCGTCCTTTCCTCCTGCCATAACGCGTCTCGATTCCGCGTTCTCGATTCCAACGGCTGTACCTTGCCGCGATCGAGTCCCGGCCCGCAACCTGGGAGCTATGATACCACTTGTCAGGAACTCGCCGGAGAGACGACGGCAGTTAAGACGTCACCGGCGAGATCACCACCGAGTCACAGGAAAAAACAGCAGGAGGAACAAGAACAAGGAAGACTTTCTCTCTTTTTTTTTGAAAAACTCTTACAGTTCTCTTTAAATAAGAAAACAAAGGAGAAATAAATAACTAACGCGCATCATGCAGAAAATTCCGCATTACCGCGTTGTGCGTTGACGTGTACACGTCAACGCACTTCTCGCATAACCGCACTATGCCGTTATGCGAACATTGGGGGGCCACATGCAAGGCTCTCATTCACAAGTTCTCTAGCACGGACTGGGACCACCAAACAATTCTCTTTCTCTCTCTCTCTCTTCCTGTACGGGGGACAGCGCCTGGTTGACGATTATTCGTCAACGGACAGGTAGAGTGGGGCCTGCACCCTCCAGGAAACTCGAGCAAATCATGGACTACAAACAATAGTCATAAAGCCGCCGAGGGCGACTGACGCATGACAGAAGCACCACCGTCCGGAAAACCTCCCACGTCCTTCTCCTCTATCCTTTCCCTATCAGGAAAGGCCGCCGCAGGCTGTGCGCAGCTCCCTCATCAGCGCCGCCGCCTCGCCGCGGGGGAGAACGGCGTTGACCGTCCGTCCGCCGCCGTCGGATCCCCCGCCACGCAAGACCAAGACGGAGCCCTCGCCGCCCACGCCTTCGATGGTGAAGTTGACGAAGACCGGACGCTGGCCTCTGACGGCCACGTCGTAGACCGGCAGGTCCTCGAGGTCCACAAAGGAGAGGTTCGCCCCATAGAGGATCAGATCCGGCAGCCCGCCGGACTCGGCCTCGGCGAACGCCTCGATCGCCGGCGTCTCGTCGGAGAATCCTCCAGCGAGCAGCTTCGCCAGCTCCGAGAGGTCGGCGGCGGCTGGCGAGAGCTCCGCCGCCCGCACGACGCCGACGGCCTGGTCGTTGCCGAGGAGCCAGCTCCTGCCGGAGAGTTGGTGGCCAGACTTGCAGATGGTCACCGTCCTGGGCTCCCTGCTCGCTCCTCGGATCCTGGCCAAGCTCCGCCAGACGACGGCGGCGATGGCGTCGAAGGACCTCCGGGCCAGAGTCTTCTCCCGGAGGACCTCCACCTGGTCTCCGCTGATCTCCAGGGAGAGACTCTCCATCTTCACCTCGCCGGCGGGAAGCCAGCACCCGTTGACCGTGTCCACTGCCCTCACCGAGAGCGGTGTCGCCGCCGCCGAGAAGGGCTTCTTCTTGGGCTCCCCCGTCGTAACCGTCTTGTCTTCCATGTTGTTGGTCTGCCGGTCCGAGAGAGGCGCCACTGCGCCCGGCAGCTCGATCCTCGCCGGGGACTTGTGGAGCTGGCGGGGTTGGGGCGGCGGGTCGCCGTTGATCGCCCGGAAACAGTTGCCAGCGAATATCGCAGCCGAGACGGCGTCGCCGAGGACGTGAGACCAGCTGAAGCCGACGGCCAGCCCCCCACACTTGAACCGAGTGAACTGCAAACAGAGAGACAGAAATCATGAGTCGTACTACAGGCATTCATGTAAGCATAACATATAATCAATCATATGCGATCGAATAACATATAATCAATCATCTCTCTCTCTCTCTCTCTCTCTCTCTTACACACACACACACACACACACACACACACACCCACACACACCCACACACACCCACACACCTGAACGGCGACCGGGGGGGAGAAGCTCAAGTCGGGGCCGAGGACCTTCTCCGGGGAGAGGGGGGGGTGAGGAGAGGGCTTCTTCTTCTCCAGCCAGTCGGCGAGGGACACCCCGCAGCGGGCCTCGACGAATCTGACGCCGCCGTCGTTGCACTTGAGGACGGGCCTGCCGGAGCTGGAGCGGCGGATCCTCCCGCAGGCGGGGAAGTAGGGCTCCATCAGCCGGAACATGGGGTTCTTCAGCTCCATCGCCGTGATCGCCGCTCCTCCGCCGTCTCCGCTGCCGGCCGGGGGGGCGGGGAAGCAGTAAACCATTCGGAGGTAGTGCAACTTCAGGGCCAGGTCCAGGTTGGTCAGCTGCAGGACCCTCCCGTGGCCGGTCATCTGGCCGGGAACCACCGTCGACATCAGCCCTTCGGTGACCGCCGCCTCGGCGGTGCTGCCATTCCCCTCGTTTTTAGAGACCATCGCGGCGACGGAGCTGACCGGTCGTTCTTGGCTCCAGCGGCACCATCGCTGGAGCCATATATAGGCCGTGGACGGGGGAGGCGATTGATGGGGTGGTTCGGCGTCGCTACTCTCGGGAGGAGAGAGGCATTTAATGGAGGCAGCTCTCTCTCTGAGCTACCCTCTCATCCTCGGCGGCGGCGGGTGGAGCTCAGAAAGGAGACGGATGGGGGGGGCGGTGAGGTGGTTGCAGAGAATTGAGCCATCGCGGACACCGTTGAGGTCAAAGAGAGGATGGGATGGGGTCCTCCGACGACGGTGAACCAGTAAGATGCCATTTTTACAGCTCCACAGCGGTCCTTGTTCCTCCCATCCTCGCAAAGAATGCCGCCCCCCACCGTATACATGCATACGGGTGGAGATCCGCAGCGAGTTAGTTGCTCGTGGACACGGCGGCAGCATCAGCGAAGGAGAACCCTAATGAAATCGATCCGAGGAAGACGGTAGAACCGACTAAGCGCCTGCGAGCATAGGTGGGGCGCGGCCTCACTCTTCCTTAAATCTGCCTTTAATGGCATCAACCCACATTCAAGCCGATGATTGGTCCACCTTATCACTCCTCCCCCGGCGAGGTCCCATTTTCTGGCGAAAATTAGGGGCAGCATTTGAAAAAAAAAACATTCCCTCCATATTTTATATATTTATCTCACAATATATTTATGAATAATTCTCTATCGTCGTCTGAAAATCATAAAGAATATGTAAATCATGCACGTGGTGGCCCATTCAATAATCCCCCGTTTCTCGTCTTCTTTGGTACAGATAGTTGATCACCGTACTATCGGTAGGTGGGGAGTTAAATCGTCGTACGTCCCCCCAAGCGCAACTATTCATCATTTCTTTTTGGGTAAATTAAACACGAGAAATTATTTTTCCCGCATCCTAAAATAAAAAAGAAGAGAGAGAGAGGAGCCATCTTTTTTCATGGATAAGAGATTTTAAAAAATGAAAGATAAAAGGGAGGTCCAGCCCAGGACAACCCCCCCCAGGACGCCTTTTGCATGGCCTAGATAGAGTCGCCTAGGCATCAGGTGAAGCCAGAGAAGTAGACTTGGAACAGGACAGTCGGAGAGGAGACAAATCCACCGTTGACTCCCTCTGCCACGTGGTGGCCACGTCCCTCCCCCACACGCGCGCCCATCCCTGAATAAAATATTTCACCACCATTATTTTCTCGAAGCTACGAAAAATTAATTCTCGAGCAATTCGCGAAACTACTAAAATTTAATGGAAGAACATCACCTGTTTTTCAAATGCAGAAAATGGCTCCTTCGAGTTTTAGTTTTTTTTTTAAAATAAAAATATATTTATAGGTTTCAAAGAAAGCCCATCCCCATGGCTCATTCGGGTTTTATTTTTTAAAAAATAAAAATATATTTATATTTTTCAAAGAAAGCCCGTCCCTGGGCGAGCTCAGTGCCTTTTGTTGGGTTTTTGAGGCCGAACTCAGTTACTTGGTTGGGCACTGTGGACTGAGACGTTGCCGCTACTGGCTACCCCACCTGCCACCGTTTCGTCTTGTCACTGCACATCGATGGATCTCCATCAGCTGCCCCGAAAACAGGCCAAAACAACACTTCCAGCCTGGAAGAACCTTCATGTGTTCCCTCGTCTAGCGACAGAGAGAGAGAGAGTTGATAGTTATTAGAACTGTTGAATGCCCAAGTGGCGGGAGAACTGTCAGAATAGTGGACTTTGACTGATCCCCAGCCCAATTCTTGAATGGCGGCGAGAGGGGGAGACGCTGAAAACTTTAGCTGGGCCGGGTCAGCCGCGTCAGCCGGGTCGGTGACGCGCCTCACCGTCCCCGTCCCCGCCCCGGCTGCTCACTGACTGATAGTCAATCCCTAATGTGGGCCGGATCGGGCCGCTGCGGCCAGAGCCCCCGGCATTGAGTTAACTCTGGCTGGGCCTCGGACACAACTGACGCCACCCGGCCCAACCCCCCCAGTTTAGAGAGAGAAAAGAAGATCAATGATTAGTTGACGTGGGGTACTGTGAAATTAATGGCTGGGGGGAGAGGATAGTGTTCTGTGAAATTAATGGCTGTGAAATTAACGTGGGATATCACACGCTCGAGAGGAGACTATTACGGCAGGAGGAAGGGGCCCCGCGGTTGGGGGGACGAGTCTGTCTGATCCGGGGGCCCGGTCTTGTTGGGGGGTGGTGGTGCTTAACCTCTGATCCCGACGCGTCTAGGACAGTCCATTGAATGCTCTGAATTTTCTCCCTAGCTCTCTCCAAGTCTCTCTCTCTATCTGATCCAGGGCTTCCGTAGAGAGATCAGACCACCACTGTCTTCTGGTCATCTCCCGCTAGAAGATAAGGGGATAGACCATAGAGCAGTTGAATACTGTTCCTGGCGAGAGAAGAGGTCCCCTACTTCATACGTCGGGCCCAGGCCCACGTCTTGTTCTGGACCCCATTTTAAGGCCCAAACCCATGTCAAATGGCCCACCGCCGGTCCATTAAAGCTACCTACTGCAACACTCACCAAGGAGATAGATTAAACGAAGATCTAAAAAACCCAACTTTGCATCACACCGACACGTCGTCATCATCACCATAGTCGTCGTAACGAAGAGGAGGGGCTTCGGGCTTCTGGCTTCCTCCCCAGCGGGGTCAACTCTAAGCCGTCTTCGCCTTGGAGAGGACCTTCCTCCTCTGCCCAAGCATGTACCGGTACATGTGGGGGCTTCCTGGAGTGCCACGTCGTCAATCAGACAACACGGTGGATGGGTCTATTTATCAAAGGCGAGTAAGGGGGATGGATGAGAGAGAAGGAGAGAGAGAGCCCAGCACGCACCGGGAATGTAGATTGCAAGGACGGCGATGGCGGCGTACAAGTAGTCGAAGGAGAAGTTCAACCTGTTCGGCATCCTTATGGAGTACTTCTCGGAGGCCTGCCATTTTTTGCCCATATTATATTAGTCAATAAATTTCCAGAATTACTATCTAGATCCCAATTTGCTGTCACTGGGCCAGGCATCCCTGTTTTGAATCATATCTCTAATGTAACAGGGCATTTTTTTTTACTTTTTCCCATTATGCCACGTGACGAAGAATCCTAGAGTTCTCATATCATGGTGGGTCAACCAAGTTGAGACCAGTTGACGATGGGTGCGTGGGGTGGGTAAATACCCCACGGCCAGTTACGGAGGAATACTTCTCAAGAAAAGGTGGCGAAGAAGGAATTATATTCAGGTACCTCGATGCAATATTCCAAAAAGAAAGCCACGAGAAAGAACGAATATTAAAGCCAAGCGCCTATGTAGAGTGATCCGACAAAAGGCAGCAAAGAGGAGGATGCGAATTAATGAGTTATGTTCAGGTACCTTGATGAAAGGAAGCGCAGTGTATATCAGGCCGACCTCGCTGGTGATGCCCGTGGGGTATAAGAACAAGAAGGTGCTATATCTACACGAATGGAATGTCAGTTTCTGGTAGGTTTCTGCGTTCTGCTCTCCCCTGGAGGGATTTAGATGGACGAGATGGCAGCGGTTGAATGCTACCTGAGCCACTGGAGCCAGGAGGGTGCGAACCCAAATGCCTCCTTCAAGCCAAAGAAGGAGTATCGGATGATCTGCAAGTAGTCAGAAAATGGTTCAGAAAAGGAGACGTGGCCATTTGTGTCTACTGTTAAGAGGCCCTTAATTAGTTAGATATGTAATCCATAGTAGTAGTGGTGGAGCCTTCCCCCCCCCTCCTCTCCCCCCACCACATGATGGAAACTAAGATTCGCCTATGCCTCACAAAAGTACAGTTAAGCAGGTCCTTCATACCACTGCATGATAATCTTCGCAAGACAGGTACCTCTGTGGGAACGGCCCGTTTTTAAGCCGGCTTAGGGAGGGTTAAAGGGTTCCATATATGATTCATATTGCTTTTTTTTGTGAGGTTCTGGGATGGTTCTCGACTCTTCCGAAAAATCTCCATGAGCACGAGAAGACAGTTTAGAATATGGAGGATAAGTTCTGAAGAAAATGGCGCATGCTCAAATAAAATATCACGAAGACTGTAAAGAATTGCGAGCATCTGTGCAGAGCTGGGGCTGTCATGGGCTGCGATGGGGCATCAGACAACAGAAAGGAAGAAAGGGAAGAGTGTGTGCGTGGGGTTGGAATGGGGGGGCGGGGGAAGTCAATTGTCTCACACAAATCGGGGGAGGAAATCAGAGGCTGGAGGATAATAGAGAACGCGGATGACAATGGTAGATGGGTTTTAGAACATTGAAAAAAAAAGGATGAATAATATGCAAATGACAAATATACGATCACAAACATCATATAGTGATAACAATCTGGTCGTACTAATGTATAAATATTTGTCAAAACTTATAGCAGATTCCCTTCAATGAGTGAAATTCTCTTCAAAAGTGTCGATAACAAGGGTCAGCTGGCATTCGGATGGCAAAACAGTTCCCGAGATTCACTTAAGAAAATTTCAGCAACAAAAAGAAATGACGACCTTAATTCATTGCACCAAATATGTGCGTCGCCACAAATATTAATAACAGTATTATGTATAAAAAATGTGAATTTCTTCTAAAAGATGATTATTATGCCCTTTAAGTGCAACCACCATTCACTATCAACATATGACTTGGGGTCAATGAAACAGTTTCCCAAAATACAGACAATAAGACCATAATGCTTCAAATTAAAAAAAAATCGTAATATGATCTTACCTCGGTAATTGACCAGCTGATAACCAGAGAAGACACAAGAAAATGAGTCCGCACCTGCAGATTGTATCACAACCTCCACTGAGCAATGACTACGGCACTTGAGGTACAATGGATACAAACTTACAAGCATAACAAGTGAAAGGGATCAAGACCTCAGGAAAACTCCACAAGATGCCCCAGGTAACGTACAGCCTCGATCCGATCTGCGGCAAGGTCGCTGATATGGGAGATCTGACCAAACCTTTGCATACCAAAAAATACACAGGTAATAAGTAAAAAAAATCCACCTCACTGCTCGCCCCGACGTGTGTAAATGAATGAGTGAGCGAGAGAGAGAGAGAGAGAGAGAGAGGAGTCGCTCACCAACAATGCCGTGTAGAATCTGAAAGCGCAAAGAGAGAAAAAGGAAAGATTATACTCCGAATTAATATGGAAGGTGAAAACAGAAAATAAATAGCTCAAAGCAACAATCGAGTAATAACCTCCAAGACTGCCGCCGTTTGCGCGAGCTGGAGTGGCCTCTCCACCGCTCCGTATACATCTCTGTAACCTGACTCTTTGAGCGTCTTCAAGGCGAAATACAGCACCTGGAACCTGCAACGGCGCCACAAAATCACTCTAACAGTGAGAGAAAAACAACAGGAACTAGTCACGGATCACTCCGCGCCATCGGAACAGAGGGAAGACCACAGATCGAGGGAACCTCACCATCCGACAAAGACGGTCCAGTTGTAGGCGGTGAGGTAGACACGCTTCAGCGCCGATAAGACCCCCGCCATCGCAGCCGCAGCAACTCAGATGCCCCGTCCACAAGTAGGAGGAGGAGAAGAAGAAGATGTGGGATGAGGGGAGGGGAGGAGGTAGCAGAGACGTGATCTAGGGCTTTAAGGAAGCCGAAGCAAGCCGAGGAGGAATGGGGATGGCCGAGGGGGGGGGTGAGAACAGGTGCGGTGGCTGAGCAGATCCAGCAGGCCAACCACCACCGCCCCTCCCCCGAAGCCTTAAAAGCTCCGTCCTCCGCCCGCAACTTCCCTGAGGCCAACGACAAATGGAGGGGAAGCGAAAGCGGCAGGGACGATACCATTTAAAACGGTCTATGACCAATAGACTCACTCTTTATGGGTAGAAAACATCATGAATATTATGAGATGCGGCCGATCCTACGACTTCCCTTCTGTGCAGATGGGCGACAACCGGTTATTTATGAGTAACAAAAATTCATGAGATCTGCGGCGGATAGTGCCGATGGCGGGTATCAGTGGGCCCCGGGGAAGGTCTGTTTATAGCATCATAGATGTCATAACTTTCCAGCTTCATGTGCTCCTGTTGACGCACAGAGAGTAGTGTAGGAGCGAGAGGGCTGGGGTGGGTGAGCTAGCCAGCGGCCTCGCAAAAATCGACTCCCAGGTGAAAATAATTTTAATTGATAAACATGAATATAGAAGCCACGTGGCAAGGAAGCCCGGGCCCAGGCTCCAATTGGGCTGGCCTTTGGGGGGGGGGGGGGCTGGACATGGAGGGCCGGGCCCATGATTTGTGTACAGAAGCCCGAAGCCCGAAACTCGAAGCACGCAGCTGACATTGACGAATAAGCCTGTTTCTTGGGCACCTTACGGGGAAAAAAGGGTCTAGAAAGATGACGGGACGGGCCCGGCCCGAAAGCCTTGAAACCCCTGATCCATCGGCCGCCTCGGGCTTCTTCTCTCTAGCCCAGGTTATCTATCGTTTTCTCGCTTTCAACATAGCCTTTCCACAGTCCCTTCATCCTGCATCCCGTTTCTCTACAGCTGCTGCTGCTGCGTCCGCCGCGGCCGCTGTTCCCGCAATTATGGCAGCTACTGCGGCAACAGTCCCATTTCTCTCGGGTTTTCCCTCATCAATTCTCCATCCTGGAGCAATATCTATGGTTCGATCGGAAGAAATGGTGATTGATAATCGCAGATCAGTTCTTCGAGACAAAACAAAATCCCACCCACACCGCAGAGATTCGTTCCTCTGCCGTAGCCGGCCCAGCGGGTGGCGGATTCAATCTTTATTCAGGAGCACAAAGTCGCATCAGAAGCAGCGCCGAAAATCCTGCGTGCTTAGCAGGAGATGCCTCAGATGAGGGCTGCTGCTGCTTCTTCTCCAGCGCCGGCACGGGCCAGCTTCGTCCACTCGGTGTGGAAATCACCCGGGCGGTCGATGCGCTCGTAAGTGTGAGCGCCAAAGAGGTCCCTCTGCGCCTGCACGAGGTTCGCCGGCAGCCTCGCCCGTCGGTAAGTGTCGAAGTAGGCCAAGCTGGCACACATCCCCGGCGTGCTGACCCCGGCGGCGATGGCCAGACCCATCACCCTCCTCCATGCCGCCTGGCGGTGCACCATCTCCCTGGCGAACTCCGGGTCGACGACCAGGTTGGCTAGGCCCCGGTTCCGATTGTACGCTGCCTTGATCCTGTCCAGGAACCTCGCCCTGATGATGCAGCCGCCCTTCCAGATCCTGGAGAGCTCCCCCAGCTCCAGCCCCCACGCCTTCTCCTCACTCTTCGCCCTCAGCAGGTTCATCCCCTGCGCGTAGCTGCAGATCTTCGACGCGTAGAGCGCCTGCCGCACGTCGTCCACCAACCGGCGCTTGTCGATTCTCCCGGCGGCCGGCGGCGGGCCCTCGCCGGAGACGCTCGCCTGGGCGAGAATCCTCGCCGCCTCCTCCCTCTCGTGTTTCAGGCCGCTGAGGTAGCGGGCGTCGAGGGAGGCGGCGATGGTGGGGGCGGCGACGGAAAGCTCCGCCGCCTGCTGGACGGTCCACTTGCCGGTGCCCTTCATCCCCGTCTTGTCGAGGATCCTGTCCACAAGCTCGCCCTCGCCGCCCTCGTCCCTGACCCTGAAGATGTCGGCGGTGATCTCCACGAGGAAGCTCTCCAGCTCGCCGCGGTTCCAGTCGGCGAAGGTGGCGGCGAGCTCCGAGTTGGAGAGCCCCCCCACCGTCTTCAGCACGTCGTAGGCCTCGGAGATGAGCTGCATGTCGCCGTACTCGATCCCATTGTGCACCATCTTCACGAAGTTGCCGGCGCCGCCGGGGCCGACGAAGGTGACACAGGGCCCGTCGTCCACCTGCGCGGCGACCTTCGAGAGGAGGTCCTCCACGTTGAGATATGCCTGGCGCGAGCCCCCCGGCATGAGCGACGGGCCCCGCCGGGCACCCTCCTCGCCGCCGGAGACGCCCATGCCGAGGTACAGCAGCCCCTTCGCCTCCGCCTCCCGCTGGCGGCGCTCGGTGTTCTGGTACCACTCGTTGCCACCGTCGATGATGGCATCCCCGGGCTGGAGGTGCTCGCAGAGGGCGGCGATGGTGTGGTCGACGGCGACGCCGGCCTTGACAAGGATGACGACGGAGCGGGGCCTAGCGATGGAGAGGACGAAGTCCCTGGGGTTGTAGTGGCCGGAAAGCGGCAGATTCCCCTCCGCGGCGGCACGGGCCACCGTCTCGTCGACCTTGGAGGCGGTGCGGTTGTAGACGGAGATGGGGAAGCCCTTGTCGGCGATGTTCAGGGCGAGGTTCTGCCCCATCACCGCCAGCCCGGCGAGGCCAATCCGGGACAGCGCAGTCGCCTCCATTGCCGTTGCCGGAGGAGAGGAGAGGAGAGAAGAGGAGTTGGGGAGAGGGCGAGAGGGAGGGAGATGGATGGTGGGTCTTCGGCGGCGGCCAGTGACGCCGCTAAAAAGAGTTTCTTGACGGGCCCGTCGAAGCGGCGGAAGGCCAACTGGAGAAAGGGCGCGGCCCGAAGAGGGAGCATGGGGGCGGAGAAAGACTGGGCGGGGGCGCCGGGATGTGGGCCTCGGCGGTCACGCAGGGGATTCGTCACGGGCGTTTTCTATTGCTTGCGAAGCTTGAGGTCTGACGTCGACGGCGGAGTATACCCTAGGAAAAATAAATATCCTAATTGTCGCCTCTTTGACCATCGATTGGACCCAGAAAAAAAAAAAACCCTTTCACTGAAGTTTACCCATTTCCCGCGGGTAAAATCTACACAAATGGAGCAAAAAGATTACATCTTTCCACCCGGATCACATCCAGAAGAACGATCAGAAGATCACCTGGGACCGGGCAAGTCTGAAATCCCAAACTGGGTGTGGGGTCCTTTTGATCTTGAAGAACATCGAAGAAGAAACGGCGGCCCAAGCCCGAGTCCCGTGGCTACCTATGCCGCCTCTACACCACTGGGGACGGGGTCGGCCTGGGGCTGCTCTGGTTTCGAGGCCACTACCTTGCAGACGGGCATGGTGTGGTTCTTGCTCAGGAGCTGCAGCGATGGGTGGACCTCAAGGTCACCAAGAAGAACTCGGTCCCCGATGTCCAGCTTCGCCAGGTCAACCTCCACTTTCGGGGGGATATGCTCGCTCGGGCAGAGGTACTTTATGCTGGGCCTTATCGTCTGCAGAAACCCCCCTGGATTTTGCAGAGAGAATTCAACAAACCCAGTTGGGGAAGAAAGCATCGTATATAGTAATTACCATGAACTGAGAATTATCAACCATAGAAGAAAATAGTTCATGCAGGGGTCTACAATTTCATCAGTAGATGATATTAATTGAGACCTAATTACGCTATTCAAAGCATGAAACCCAATCACCATCGCGAGCCTCATGGCAAAAATCTGGTATAATCTACGGCCAACCAAGAACACTATCAGCGTCTGGGTACACTCTGGAAAGGGTTAAACTGAAGATGAGATGAGGCAAAATCGATATGAAGGCGCACATTTTAATGAAATCCCTAAATATTTCAGTTAATCGGATCAAAGATTGGTCGATAATGAAGGTGAGAACTGCTCCTCGGATATGGAAATCTATAGACACCGGGTGCAGAGTGAAGGAGTGAGTGTTGCCTGTCATGCACATGATTTGAAGCAACAAGAGGGAGCATAGCGGCTCGTTTTCTGCCCGCCTGCGGTTGATCTAGAACAAGTCTTGGACCAGCATGATGCATCAAAACCCATGCAGAGGAAACGTAGGTTGGGCCGGATTACGTGTTGATGAAAAGCTGCTTCTAGGACATCGGGCTATGGACCAAAGGCATACATTCATGGTGCGAGGGGAACGCTCGCCTTTCTAAGCATTCCTCTGCAGAAAGCCATATAGCTTGAGGAGGAGAGTCACCTCTAAGCATTCCTGAACAAAGGCGGGGCTTTTGTTCAACGAATGAGGAAAATTCACCTCTCCATTCTATCATCTCTGATGGGTTTCAGCTCAAACCGATCTCCATGAGCAAAAGGAACCAAAATCGGCATGGTGATTATGCTCAGGGTGCACGGATGTCATTTAGGAGCCGATGCTGGGAGAGATCATGTCTATACCAACAGCCATTCTCGAGATGATCGTAAGCCTAACTCCTGAGGAATCCGAAGACCCAACAAGGCTTCGTTCATGGAAGGCGACACTCTTAGATGAGAAGTAAATCGGAGAGAAAAGCATACGTCGGACGGTCAGGAGGCAATTGGACGCCGCAACCTCCAGACAAACGATTTGCGCGCGCGCAAACAGACTAATCGGCGATCCAAGAGCAGTAAGCAAGCCCTCGATGAGATAATTCCAAGAAAATATGATAGAAACAAGAATTGAATGTCTTTTACCCATTGATTCTAGCAAGTTAAAGGGGAAGGGAGTGGAGGGAAGCGGTAGGTTTTTCGCTAAACCAGAGCAAATCTCTTGCCTGAAAGGAAGTGATAGGAGCGAGAGAGAGAGAGAAACGCACACCTTTCTTGAGCCCGGGACAGACGTCCTCTCCCTTGTATACGACTGGCACATCCACCTTCAGGGCAGCTTCTTTCCCCGCCCAAGCCAACACCAAGTTCAGTATCTGCCCCGTCTCCGCGTCCTTGTGGATCTGCACCACCAGAGGTGGAATGAACGACGATGAGGGCGAGAGAGACAGAGAGATAGAGGAAGAGGAAGAGGTGATCCCACCACCTTTATCGGGAGGACGGCGCCGGACTGGAGCAGGGCGGAGGAGCCGGGGCCGGCGCGGACCTGGAGGACGAACGTGGTGGAGCAGAAGAAGGGAACCCTCTTGAGGAGAGTGACGATCTGCTTCTTATCTGCCGTGAGCAGGAGCTTCCTGGAGGCCTCCGCCCCATCTCCGTCGCCCTGGGTAAGAACCACCGCCGGGATCCGGCCGAGGGCTCTCTCCCTCGCCGCCAATCTGCTCCCTGTGTGCTCCCTCGGCACCGCCTGTATCGTGTAGTAGGTTCGAGAGAACACCGCCCCCGCCCCACTGAGGAGCCCTCGGGTTCCGCCGCCGCTCCGCCAACCCATTCGCCGCCGCTTGCTGGTCGGCCGTCGACCGTAAACCCTTGCCCACCCCTTGAGAGGACGTGAGGAAGGAGATGACGACGGGCCCATTAATTCAGCCCACTAAATGGCAGAAGGCCCATTAGCCTTCCAACGAACTGGCGCCCTTCCCTCCGCTCTTCTCGCCCGAGTATAACCGCCCTTTTATTTTCTTTTTAAATAATTATTTTGTATAAATCATAAAAGAAATAATAAAAGAGAGGGTGCCGCTTAAAATCGGGAATTTCTGCTAATTTTCGGAAAATCCAGACGTCCGAGAAATTCATGTTTTAATAAAATGGGAATTACTTCCGGCAAGGGCGATATTTTCATATGGAAGGGGGATACGAGGAGTATAAGAAGAATGGTGGGGATAAATGAGAAATGTGACACGTAGGCCGAACTCGTTTTAGTTTTCCATTGACTTGTTCCACTCGTCTTTCAATAAACTCTCTCTCCCTCTCTCTTGTGGGCGTCAAGAAGCCCCTCGTCCGCTCTGAGTAGACGGCGGCTGGCTCCGTTCGATCGGACGTCTAACCTCAACTTCTCTCTCTTTCTCTCTCTCGCTCTCTCTCTAGGGGCGACTCTCCTTTCTTTCCAGCTGCTTTATACCGCGGTTCCTACTCCTCCAACACAAACTCCTCTGAAGACTCCCTTCCAACGCCTTCTCTCTCTCTCGGGTCTTCTTGAGAGCTATTCCTCCGCAACCGCCGCCGCTGCCCGTCCCACAGAGGGTCCAGTCGGGGAGAGTCGGATCGGATCGTCCAACGATGGCATCGTCGCCGACGAGAGCGCCGTGCGCCGCCTGCAAGTATCTCCGCCGGAAGTGCGTCCCCACCTGCGTCTTCGCCCCCTACTTCCCGCAGGACAGGCCCGGCAGGTTCACCTGCGTCCACCGCATTTTCGGCGCAAGCAACGTTTCCAAGATCCTCAATGACCTCGACCCCGTCCACCACCGGCGGGCCGCCGACTCCCTCGTTTACGAGGCGCAGCTTCGCCTTCATGATCCCGTCTACGGCTGCGTCTGGCTCATGGCCCTCCTCCAGGAAATCCTCCAGGACGTGAATCAGAGGATCCATGGCGCCAAGACCAAGCTCACCGCCTTGACCCAGTACGGTTCAACGCGCAACGCCGCCATGAATGTCGCCAACCCCTTCTTCGATCAGAATCTTGCCGGACACTTCCGGGCCGCCGCCGCCCCACCGCGGCAGCCGACCGACATTATAAGGAACGGCAGGGCATCCTCTGCGTCGGCCTACGCACCGCAGATCGTAGAGGCGCATCAGCGGTGGAACTTTCTCCCCGGATTGGATACGCAGCGGGAGAATCAGGCGCTCCACCCCATGGGGAACGGCGGCGGCGGCGGCGGGTCCTCCGACGCCGCCGCCGCTTCATTCTCCAACCACCTGGTGGTGCAACACCCCCCCCTGCAGATCATGAACGCACAGAAGCAGCGGGAGCCGCTCGGCGTTACCGCTTCATCCTCTGACCACCTGCCGGTGCAACAAACGTCCCAGCATGTCACGGAGGTCCAGCGACAAGTGACCTTTCTCCACCGACTTGATCCGCGCAAGCGGTGGGAGGTGCTCGCCGGTGGGGCAACAGGCCCCGCCGCGCCATCTCCCAGCCACCGGGTGCAGCAAACACCGCAGCAGGTTATCGAGGCGAAGCGCATCACGGTGACGCAGTGGCAGCGGGAGGCGCTCGCCCCCGTGATGTACGGCGGGGGGGCCGCCGACGCCGCCGCCGCGCCATCCTCAAGCCAGCGGATACAGCAGACCATGGAGGCGCAGCAGCAGCAGCAGCATGACTTCTTCCGAAGATTAGATCCTCAGCGGCACGGGGATATGTTCGGCTTCACGGGGCACGGCAGCAGGGCCTACGGCGCCGCTGCGTCATCCTCCAACCACTGGTTGCAGCAAACACCCCAACAGATCATGGAGATGCAGCAGCAGCAGCAGCGGGTGGCGCTTGAACTCACGAGGTATGATGGCGGGGCGACCGTGTTTCACCGCTTAGATTGGGCAGTCAGGGCAACTGGCTCTCCGAGTGCATTGGCCCCAGCGACAGAGAACTCTAACCCAATGGCTGAGAATATGATAGACGAAGGCGTAGAGAGCAATTGCGGAGTCACCTGCAAGTTCACCCGTCGGCATATGGTTTAGGGTTTTTCGTCATTATCCTTCTGCTTGTTTCTCCATCGGTGTTTTGACTCTAGGACTATGGGGTTAATTGTTCGTGCCCTTCTTCATCATCTTCTTCTTCTCCTCCTCATTATTCTTCTCCATGTACTTACCACATAGAGGCTACGAGTGATCAATGTGCATTAGCAAGTGTGTCTCGGCTCCAACATATGTGCACTGCAAGTGTAGATGAGTGAAGACATATTTTGCAAACAGAGATGGACAAAATAGTTGGCACATGCGTAGCATGCATACAGGCGTGTGATGACTGCAGCACGTGGATGTGTGGCAGGCTCAGAGGCAAATGGCGGCACAAGCATATCATCCGTGTCATTGCATGGCGTCCATGATGTACATGTTGTCTTCATTCTGTATGGTGTGCATAGGGTATGCACGATACAAGTTGCATAGGTAGAGCGCACATGTTTGCGTACGAGTGTGTCAAGTATGAGTGAGAGATCCACAAAATGAGACCAATTTAACAAGAAATTCAATAAGTTAGAGAATATCTGTGGCACATAGGAGCAAAACAGACAAGACATAATGACGACAATTATTAAACTAGATCAAAGCATTAAATTAGGCAACAATGGTCCTGCTAGGGAAGTAGACTATCAGAATATGAGCCAACAATCTGACCTGACGTTAGGAGAGTAAATGTTAGATGCTGACACCCCATGGGCCTACAAGCCCATATATAATGGATGCACCATAACATGATTGAGTATGGATGTATTCTTCATTTTTTGTGATTTTCTTTGATGAATAGTAATATCTCTTTATGTAGATAGTGGCAAAGCTAGAGAGTGTTCATGTGAGAACTTAATATCAAAGCATTGCTTAATGGCAAGAGAAAGTGGCAGCCATAGACACACTTATCTATAGATAATAGTTCCATGTTGTAGTGTCTTTTGCTTAAAGTTGGGTCACAACGTAGAGCTTTTTTTCCTGGTAAAGACTATCAAGGATAACTTTTTTATTGACTTGACTTGAAGGATAATATGACAATTCTAGCTTAGCAAAGATTACTAACGAGAGGTGTGAGCACATCAACAAAGTGTGGCAGTACATAATGCCTACAAGTGACCAATATACATTAGGAAGTATTTGTCAACTCTAATATAGGTGCATTGCAAATATGGAGGAGTGAAGTCATATTTTGCGTACAAAGATCGACAAAATAGTTGTAACATGTGTAGTATGCATGTAGACATGTGATGAGAAATCTGTTGTACAAATGGATGTGTGACATGCTTAGAGGCACACGACATCATAAATATATTACACACATATGATCCATGACATGCATGATGTCCATGATATACATGTTGTCTTCATCATGTGTGGTGTGCATAGAGTGCGCATGATATAGGGTGCATGGGTGGAGCACACATGCTTGCATGTGAGTGAGTCAAAGCATGAGTGAGAGACTATTAGGCCCTTGGTGGGCCTAACTTAATGCACAAGAGAAGGGGCCAAAAACTTAATGCCCACCCCAACGTTAGAAGACCCAAGTTCCCCAACATTGGGAGAAGGAGGCTTCTAGAGACAAGGGTAAAATAGTATTTATGTTGTAATGATGTGAGGGGCATTAAGGTTGAGGGGGAGATTGGGAAGGGGAGTAATCAAGGATTGCTCTAAGGTGGCTGAGGTTGAGGGAGAGCAGAGGGCTTCTCCAATGTTCCCATGACTCAAGGGTTCTCCAAAGCCCATAACTCATATTAGGTTTTCCTTTTTATTATCTCTAGTATCTAGATCATTTTTCTTTACTTTAAACTTTCCACATGTCATAGTGGCATCCTAATATTTGGTATCAAAGCAATAGCAACAATGGTGCCCAAATTATATGATAGAAGCATTAGAGATCACTAAAATAATGATAGAAATGATAGTTGAGGTAGAAGGTTTATACCTAGAGATAGCCCAAATCATCTGCACCTTCAAGGAGCCAAATGACAAGACTATTAGTAGTGGATAAATAATGGCAAGAGGGAAAGTTGGAGAAACAAATGGAAGGTGACTCGAGCCAAAGGTAGAGGAAGTCATCTTCAAGCAATGATAGTAGTCAACCCCATTAGGCAAATGGGAGATTGTTGTGGGATCTGATCCCATAGGGGGTTGGACTTTGTGACCCAAAAAGCAAGGGAGAGCCATGGAGAGTGAGAAGGCAGATGGAGCTACCAACATTTGATGAGAACAAGCTTGTAGGTTAGCTCTATAAGATTATCTTTTTTTTTCCTTACATTCAATGTGGGAGATGAAAAAGCTTATGGTCACATCAATGAGTTTTAATGAGGATGCATTACATTGGTATCAATGGACTGACATCAGGTACCCTTTTATCAACTATCACAAACTTTAGACACAATTGGAGCGCTTCAGCAAACCCCGATGGTGAAGTTTATGTGAGAGATTATTAGATATAAGACAACACATGTCAATGACCCAATATTGAAAAGAATTTGAGTTGATGTTGTCCTCCTTGATAGACCTACCAAGGAAAATACTAGGAAGTCAAGCTCCATATGCCTTTTCACTCTAAAATTTTCTAAGCATGTGGGTCATTATGTAGATGGCACAATTAGTTGAAGATAATAACATCCTTTGGTTATAGAAAGTAAGAGGTGAGGAGGTGCTAGAACCTCATTGAAAATGAATTGAAGGCACATCATATTAAGGGGATTTATTTTACATGTGATGAGCAATTCTCTTTATGACATATTTATATGGAGTTGAGGTTGATGCTATTATAAGAAGAAGATAGAGAACAAACTAGATTAAGGAAGTGGTATTAGACCTTACAAAGGACAACAATAATTTTGAACTATAGTTACTATCATAAGTGAACATTGAGCTCTCCATAAATTCAACATTGGGACTCACAAATTTAAGGATTATTAAACTTCAAGGAAAGGTGAACATACAATGGGTAACTATTATCATTGATTGTGACATAGATAGTAATTATGGAGTTGTCAACTAATTAATTCGTTGACATGTGGTTTAGAGATTACCTTATTATTCATCTCCTTGTTTATCCATTATTGTTTCGACTCTTAAGAATATAAGGTTCACTGTTCTTGCCCATCTTTTTCTTCTTCTTCCTTTGCTTGTGCTTAAGATTTGTTTAGGTCATTGGGCTGATAAGAATGTAAATTTGCCATCTTAATGGGTTCCAATACGTGACCACGGTCAAATGAAATAGTCAATACTACATCTCTTAAATGATTCATTCTTCTTATAATAGTATGAGTTACAGGCCATCTATGAAGTCCATTAAGATACTCTCCATTTAGTTTTCTAGCAAGTCAATATTGTGACATTTAATGTTGAACCTTATACTATGATCATATATGTGAGTATAATCCTTAAATATAATTTATGATATTTAGTAAATACTTATCAATATTATGTACCTAAAGTTGAGTCACAACTTAGAGCCTTTCTATTGGCAAGGACCATCAAGCATAACTTTTTGTTGACTTGGCCTAAAGGATATTATGACAACTCTAACTCAACAAAGATTATGCTAACATGAGGTGTGAACTCACCAATATAGTGTGATACTACACAGCCTACAAATGAGTAATGTGTATTAAGAAGTGTGTCAACTCTAACCTAGGTGCATCACAAGTGTGGAGAAGTGAAGGCATATTCTAAATACAAAGATTTACAAATAGTAGGCACATGCATAACATGCATGCAGACATATGATGAGAAATTCACAACATGTAGATATGTGTGGCATGCTTAGAGGCACACATAAGCATATACATAATACACACCCATGATCCATGGCATCCATAATGTGCACATTGTCATCATCATGCATGGTGCACACATGAACATGATATAGGGTTCATGGATGGAGCACACATGTTCGCATGTGAATGTGTTAGGATATAAGTGAGATATCCACAAAATTCAACTAATTCAACAAGAACTTCAACACATTAGAGAATATGAGTGAGATATCTAAGTGTCATATGAGAGTAAACTATACAAGGTATAACGGCTTATTAGAGTAGATCAAAGCATTCATGGCAATGATCCTATTAGGAAAATAGGTGATCAAAACATGAACCAATAGTCTCACCTGACACTAGGAGAGTAAATGTCAAATTTTGACACCTGATGAACCTACAAGCACATATATATATATATATATATATAATATAAACACCCTGACTTGATTGAGTAGGGATGTCTTTCTCATTTTTTATATGTTTTTCTCAATTAATAGCAAGAACTCTTTGTATTAATAATGTATATCTAGAGAGTGTTCACATGACAAAAGAGAACAACACCCATGAACAAACTTCTTTATATATAAAAGTGCATTGTTGAAGTGTTTTGTGCTGCATATGAGATGATAATTTACCTTCAACCCATGTAAAAACAACTAAAAGGCATGTGACTAGCAACAATGAAGGTTATCACATGAAACAATCAAGGACAACAATTGTGGAAAGCATTGCAGTAGGCCATGCAATAGAGGCAAAGGTGATCCAAGGATTCATGAGGCTTGAGGAGAGAAAGAAACATCTGCCAACCCTCCAAAGGGATGTTTCAAATGAGAAGGTGCCCATTGTCAAGGGTCTATCCAACATGAGATGGGGTACGCACA